AGTTGCTCAGTGTGACAGATTAACATCCCATGGACTGTGCCCATGACCCCTGCTGGAGGCCTCACATGGAAACAAAAGTTTCCATCAGCGCTTTTCTCCCTACGTTTCCTCCTTTTGTAAGTTGCATTCTCTTTTGTGGATGGAGAAAATTGGGCAGGGATGGATTGTTCCTTAAAATATGGACATTGTGCCAAAACCGGTTTGGCTCAGTGGATAGAGCATCAGCCTGCGGACTGAATTCCGGTCAAGGGCATGTACCTTGGTTGTGGGCACATCCCCAGTGGGGGATGTGCAGGAGACAGCTGATGTTTCTCTCTCATCGATGTTTCTGACTCTTCCTCTCCCTTTCTCTCTGTAAAAAGTCAATAAAATACATTAAAAAATATTGACAGTGTCCCAACAGGCCAAACATCTGTAGGAGCCGCAGAAAGGGACATATGACAGATCTGGAAGGCTTCACAGAACATGCAAGATCACCTACACCTTCCCAGACACCAGCAGCAAAATAGGGAGAAATGGGCAGTCGGAATGTTTCCCGTTTATTCGCTGCCATCTGACGATTATGACAATTTAATTTGGGAACTGGATTTATATAGGAAACCCAGGAAGAAAGTAAGTATTCCTCTAGAAAGGGTGTGATAATTGAACTAATTTTATAAGTCTTGGTTTGTATCAGTAAGAAATTAGCTGTTAGAATTATTTACTCAGGCATAGCTCTTGGATGTTCTCAGTTCTTCAGTAAGCAGCAACTGTCAGGCAAGGACTTTCATCATTACAAGTGTAGTCGTGGAACGATCCCACTCAAAATCAAGTGTTTTGCTCCTCTCCCATGACCCTGTGCAGGGTAGCTTTATTGCATTGGTCTTTAGGAAAAAATGCAAAATCAACGATTAATGTTCCTGACATGTTGAACAGCACATGTTGCATTTTTAAAAGATAAGATCATCATATAAAGTCTGCTCCATCTTTTGCATACTCTGACAATGGCTTGTTCAAATCCCCTTTTCAACCATTACTCCCTTTAAGAAATCATTTTACATAGTATCCACAGGTACACACAATACCCTTCTGGCTTGCAGGATGCACTGGTGTTTTCTGTTTCTCCTCCTCTTTCCAATCCACCAAAATGCTGCTGGTCAAGTTCCTCAGTGATCCCGTCACTCATGGACCACAAACTGCAGCCTGACACTTAAAAAAAAAAAAAAAAAAAAAAAAAAAAATATATATATATATATATATATATAATTATTGATTTCAGAGAGGGAGGGACAAACATTGATGAGTGGAAATCATTGATTGGCTGCCTCCTGCATGCCCCTTTCCAGCCCACAACCCAGGCATATACCCTAGTGGGGAATTGAACCATGACCTCCTGGTTCATAGGTCGACACTCAACCACTGAGCAACACTGGCCGGGCCTGACTCACACTTTAGATCATACATATATCACTTCCTTGTTATTCTATCACATAATGAAAACATACAAGATCCAGGTGGGACACTTCTGTAGTCGGAGCAGAGCTCTGTGAAGGATCGACCCACCCAGCTAATCTAAATTGTGGGGCCTGTGAGAAAGGATGCAGGAGGCCGGACATGCTGATGCTATGATCAAAATATGAGCAAGTCCAAAACCTGACTTCCTTCCACAGGGATTTATACATTTTGCAAACAATGCTGCATCTGCAGCATGAATGCCAATTTCTTTTTCATTTTGAGAAGTTCTATTTGGTTCTTTCCCAAATCTACTTGATAACTTTAATAGCTCGTTTGTCCTTATTCAATTTCTTCTGAATAATTGAGCATCTGCTCTTGAGGCCCTTAGTCCCCGTTTCTCAGCAGGCTCTCACAGCGCCTGCGTGTGTGCTGCGGGCCATGCCTGCCTGTGAGAACAGGCCCCTCACTCTATGGGCAGGGCTTCTTAGGAAGGTGGCTTCTTTCAGAGGGAAGTTGTGGTTGTTTGTATGGTGTCAGGGCTCTGCCATGTGATGCCACTTTAAACTGAAATCCGGGCTTGAGGTTTTTGTTTGTTTTTTCAGAGGGTCCATACCAGGAGGAGTCTGCTGTAAGCGGTCAGGAGAGCACATGTATGTGCATGTATACTTACACTTTACCCCTCAGTCAGCCAAGTTCAAGGCGGAAACTCTCCTCGGGGGGATAGTGCTCAGCCTCATGGGGGGTGGTGTACGTGTGATCCCTCCCCCAGACTAACCCGGACTTCACCCGCTGCCTCTGGGCCCCTGAAGCTTGAAAACAGTAAGTTGTCCTTAGCCTCCAGCAGCTTTCATGTAATGTTTTAGACCGGGTACTCCTTACCTTCTCGTCAGCTCATTCAAAAAACATTTTTAATCCAACAGCTAGAACAGTTTCTAGGAGGAGGGTACCCTTTGCACTCTAAGACTACGCAAGTTTACAAAATCAACAATTCTCCCTCACGTCATTTGAAATAAAACATAGAAAAACCATCGTGGGTAGTCCAGATTTTATTGCTCATTAATTATGGCATTCTATACAATTTTAAGTAAACAGTTTTGAGAAAATATACTGGGAGTATTGAACAGTGATGGCACTATTGATGAATGTTCAAGTGTCACATAAGGTAGTAAGAGGCACCAGTGCCACCATCGCCTCCCAGAATTTGTACATTTCATATAAAAAAAAAAAAGAGTAAAAATAGTTCATTGGTATTTTACTAGCATTATTCTTTGTAATCTATGAACCGTGATAAGCTTGAACAGTTTCAGACTCTTCGGAGCAAAACAAAGGCTTTTCTTCCACTAGCAGATGTAGTAGCTTCTTTAAAAACAGCAGACAGATCAACACAACAAAAAAGTACAGACACAACCCTAAAACAAAGTCGGCATATTTCAGTGGCCCTGAATTTTAATGTTTCTCTCGGTCATATTATCTATTTATATATAAAAGTCTAATATATATATAAAAGCCTGCTCACTAGGACATGTGCTAACCACCAGGAGGCGATGTGGAACAGGGCGGGGAAGTGGTGCTGGCAGTGGGTGGCAGTGGAGGCTCTGCCGACCCCGATGGGCCCTGACAACAGGCAGCACGGTGGAGCAGGTGATCCGGTAGCACCAGGCCAAGGCGGGTGCAGGCAGGGGCCCAATTGCCTTGCTGATCACCCCGCTGATGGCAGCCAGCAGCAGCAGGCAGGTGGGGAGTCCGACTCCGACCAATCACCCCGCAGATGGTGACCAGTAGTGGCCACAGGGGCGGTGCTGAGGGAGCCGGACAGGGAGCCTGGCCCTGATTGATCGCCCCACAGGCAGGATGGTGGAGCAGGTGAGGGGGCGGTGTAAGGACAAGGTGGGGTACCAGGTGGGGCTGTGGGGCTGTGAGGCTGAGGGCGCGAGCTGAGACCCCATTCCCACAGGACACCCTGAGGGACCTCACCTGTGCAGGAACTCATGCACCAGACGTCTAGTTTCAGGAAATAAAATGCTACTCAGCTTTTAAAGATGAGATTAAATGTCTTTACCATAATTATGATTACTTCATAATTTAAATGACTTAACTAAAGATAGTGTTGGCTCAGTCAAAACCATGGACACAACTCAGACTGCTCTTATGCTAAAGAAACTTTTGGAAACCCCAACTGTTCCTTACAACGCAGACCGACACGGCACAGTGCAGCTGAGGAACCAGCAGCGTCCCTTTGGGACCCCGCAGCAGCAGCCCTACCTATTTTTAAAGCTGGGAGCAGAAGCAGAATCACTGTGAAGCGCACAAAGGCATCTCTAAACCCCTGGCAAAACTGCACTGACGGTTTCCTCTATTAACGATTAAAAAGCAATCAAGCATGTATTACAGTTCGGCGTTTAAAACACTTCTATTATTACAATGATGCTCAGGGAGAGAAATGCATTTGAATACTTGGAACAAAACATGAAACGTAGTTTTATGCTAAGTTATTTACAAGACCTCCGTTACCAAACAACGAAAGATATACGATAGCACGTAAACAGGAATTTATTAGGACCACTGGCTCCACCAATACAAAAATTAAATATTAAGGCATCTTGTACTCCCATGTTGGTAGTGCAGTGAAGAGAAATGTTTAAATAGGAACCAGCACGTCTGTTTAGATGCTGCCTGATGTATTGGATCCGTTTTTATAGTCTCCTCTTCCACACACCATGGAAAGCTCTCATGATCAAACATCATGACCCACACCAAGAGAGAAGCATAAACCATATTCACTTATTAAAGGGAAGCAGTTCACCCTGGGGTGGGGGTGGGGAGGCATTACAAAGAATATTATGTGTAAAGCTCAAATACCAGGATTTAAGTTTCTCTGAAGCAATTTAACCAGTCTTGGCTAGGCTTCTCAGTAATTGATGAGAAGCCTAGCCAAGACTGGTGGTTAGGCTCAGTGGATAGAGTGTCAGCCTGTGGACTGAAAGGTCCCAGGTTCGATTCCGGTCAAGGGCATGCACCTTGGTTGTGGGCACATCCCCAGTAGGGGGTGTGCAGGAGGCAGCTAATCGATGTCTCTCTCTCATCGATGTTTCTAACTCTTCATCCCTCTCTCTTCCTCTCTGTGAAAAATTAATAAAATATATTAAAAAAAAGATGAGAAGTCTATGAATCTGTATCATGCTTTGGAATAATTGTTCACTCAGTACTCTATTCCCTGGGACAGGAGTTTTAGAAAAGTCTTTTAAAAAAATGGTTACATCCACTAGAATAAGATCACATAAGTTAACACTGATTATTTATCATTTCCCTTATTCCACTGACAAAGCTCAAAAGGCTTCCAAAGTATATTAAACAGTAACATTTCACCTTTTATTAAGGCAAGTTTGTGAAAATAATTTAATACAACCAAATCTCTTCAGGAAATTTCAGCTTAGAACATTTTTATGTAAGAAATATACAAAAAAATGGTTTTATAAAAAGCCACCTCAATACCAGAAGAGAGTGACAAAAGTTTGAACCCAGTGTACTTTTTAAGGATGCTCTTTCCTTGTTTCCAATTCCAAGTGCTAGTCATCATCTTTAGTGCCACTTTTGCTTAACTATGGAAAAAGATAAAAGAAATATTCAACAAGTTTAAATTATTATATTGAGTTATTTCCATTTCATAGCAAAGGTAAACATTTATAGCTTCTGGAACCAGAGTCGGCAAGATTTGGGAGGGTAAACCACTTCCAGCTTCCACCCCTATTGTTGTACTAAAAACACAGAGATTATTTTATACTGTTTTTATGGAAAGGGCATCCCACTGCCCAAACATCTGACTTTAAGATAAACTGTAAGAATATACCCATGAGATCCTCACTAAAATGCTAGCCTTTAACTCTCCTTAGATCACATTAGTTACTTCTGACAGGACTGGCACTAAGCAGCATGCAAAACTCATTTCATGAAGTTCTACAAAGAGAATGAACTTACTGTGTTAGGTATCAGTTGAGTATATTTGAAGCTACAATTTGTGCAAGAAAAATACTGAGAGTAGTTGGCAGAAAACCTCAAAATGGAAGTAAACAATTTAAAACAACAAAAACGGAAACTCTTTCTTGGTAATGATGGGAAATTACAACTAGGGTCTGACCTAACTAAAATGCTTAGTTCCTCCTAAGAAATCAAAGCATTTCTCCCCGGGACCTGTTTCCTCAGTTTCCATACCATCACTAACTTAGAGTCACAGTTAAGCATGCCCATCCTAGGGGTACTTACATCAACAGTCACACCTCACTGCAGCTATAAATACTTACATGCTGAGTGTGGAGGAGGAAACGGACGTCCCAGGGGAATCCAGAGGCGGAGGGGAGAAAATGGGAGATAAAGCGTCAGTATTCGATGGCAATGCCATGAGGATGTGTGAAGACTGGAATTAAGTATTGTGTACCTTCACCACATCCACCCAGTTCCAGCCTCGAGGAAGCTCTCCTTTGTGATCTGGAGGAGAAAACACAGGAACGTTATTTTTAAGACCAGTCGGTGACCTTTAAGGTAATATTCGAATAATACATAAGATCTGTATGCCATTCTGCACAGCAAATAAAATCTAAGTCACACAACCCCACGCTGACAAACAGATATTGTCACTGTGCCTGCACATACTGCTCTCCTGGGCACACTCTCCAAGTGTTTCAGATGTGTCCTCTGATGGTCCCCTGACTTCATTCTAGGCAAAACCTGGTGTCCAGGAAAATACGAGGTGAGCTGCTAATGCCGGGAAGAGAAACCCATCCACTTGCTAACTTCAGGTGCATGCACAAAGCATCTGCTGCCTGCACGGGGCTGCTTATCTCAGTGAGAAACTGTATGCTCACTGTTCCCTGTGCTCATGCTCCCCTCTAGCCCAAGACAAGAGGCCTTACATACAAACGTTCGCTCAAGATGAAGAGGAAGCCTGGTCAACTTATCCACTCCTGAGTTCTGATAAGACAGTCATCATTTAATCTGACATTTTTTAAACAGGCTTTCATCTGTTGGGAGTGCTTACAAGCAAGCTGGACTTTTATATAAGAACTTATAAAGTAAAACAATTTCATTCCTATAATAGAATATTCAAATTTAAAGAACAGTTTAATAAATACACTTAAATATTTTCTATTTAAAATTCCTTTATGCTCGATATATTTGTATGTCTCATTTTAGAAAACATATAAAATCTGTATTTGAAACAAGTATATTAATTTTATAGCAAAGGAAACGGAAACCAACTCTTTGATTATTATTATTTTTAAAATATATTTTATTGATTTTTTTACAGAGAGGAAGGGAGAGGGATAGAGAGTCAGAAACACTGATGAGAAACATCGATCAGCTGCCTCCTGCACACGCCCAACTGAGGATGTGCCTGCAACCAAGGCACATGCCCTTGACTAGATTCGAACTTAGGACCTTTCAGTCCGCAGGCTGATGCTCTATCCACTGAGCCAAACCGGTTTCAGCTCTTTGATTATTATAGGAGAGAAGCAGTATTATGGAGCTCAATTTTATTTAAAAAATATATATATATTTTATTGATTTTATACAGAGAGGAAGGGAGAGAGATAGAGAGTTAGAAACATCGATGAGAGTCATCGATCAGCTGCCTCTTGCACACTCCCTACTGGGGATATGCCCGCAACCAAGGTACATGCCCTTGACCGGAATCGAACCCAGGACCCTTCAGTCCCCAAGCCGACGCTCTATCCACTGAGCCAAACCAGGTAGGATCTTGTATGCTATTCTAATGCTCCTGAAAGTCAGGACTGATTTAGTTACTTTGCCGCTCATCTACCTTCTTCTCACGTTTCTTTCTTGTGGTGAAGGAGAAAATATTTTCAATACATGTCTGTGCCCTGACCCAGCCTCTGAGCTAACTGTCCCCAGAATAAACAGTGGAGACTAATTCTCTAAATGGAAACCTAGTTATTAAGCACCCACCGAGCAATAAAAAGCAACACATTTCTCAGTGTTATAAGAGGAAAAACAAACACAAACCTGTTTTATCTGCCAGCTTGCGTTTTTGGGCTTTTGTAAGCTGTTCCTTCTTTTCTTTTTTCTTACTGGATGGAGCTACATTTGCAGTTTCAACTGAGAGGATATTGCTTATGGATGTCTAAGGGGAAAAAATAATTCTTAGACCCATGTCTTAAAGCTTACCGAATTACACAAAATATGGCTACACCCTGAAATGGGTTGATAATTTTTAGACTTGTGAAATAAAAGAACCCTCCCCTGTTATATTTGCTTACTAGTACAGGTGAACTTAGCGACTGGATGCACTGGAATGCGCACTGACGGGCACAATACAAGTGCAACTGCTGCAACAAGGCCCCTCAGCAAGGAGTCCTGACGCCAGCATGATGCAGAAGCTCTGAAGTTCCAAGGTAATTTTACAGTTTAATTTGCTATTATTTGGAAATTTAAATAAGTCTTTAGCAGATTTACAGTTGTGAGTACATGAAAGTTTATTCTTGTATTATCATTTATTAATTAGTTATTTATTTGAATTGCAACTGTAAATCTACTTTTGCCCACCACTGGATTTCAGTTCATGCAGCCAGAGATTATGAGGCAAAATTTTAAATGCTTACGAAGTGCAGGCATTGCAACGAATGTTGTACATTCAGTCATTTACTACAGTTTCATCAGGTGGATGCTGCCTCAACTGCCATTTTACAGATGAAGAAACCGAGCCACCCAGTGAGGGTGCGGTGAGGGTCTGACCCCACGTGGTCCGCCCCCATCCTCGATTTGAGCTCCCACCCTCCCTGCTTCTCCAGCTGCCTCCCAGGGTCCTGTGCTCTGCTGGCCTGTGGAAACCAGAATTGCTCAAGTATGGGATGTGGCCTCTGCTGTCCGTGTACAGCTGGGTTCACAGACAAAACTCAGCACTGACCAGCAACATGTTTTAGTGCAGGTCGTGGTGCAGAGGGGCTAATTCACAGATGCTCATGGTCATCAAAGAGGCTTCTTCTCTAAAATAATCCTAGGAAAAAATGTATACTTTCCCCATTTAATAGCATCTCTGTAAATGGCCATACCTTCAAACTGAGCTGTGGCAAGACCACTTACAATGAAATAATCCCCATTAAAAATGTCATACATATTTTAGCTCCACATAAGAAATCCCCTTTCTGAGTTTTATGAGGAAATAGACTTGAAAGTATGAATTCTACAATATCAGCACATGAAGTAGCCTAGTCTTATAGGAATGGTAAAATATGGAGAATAACATTTTTAAAGTTACATAAAAGCTAAGAAATCTAAAATTCATTGTTCTTATTTAACTCAGATGTAACTCACTTTAAACTAACGATCTCCAATTAAAAAAATAACTAGTTCAAAGTAATTACTAACACTGAAATCGAAACATTAAGAACATCTGGCAAAAGCAAACGGCACACTCACCGCAGAGTTCACGGGATGGTGATTCTCCATGAACTGCTCCTTGTTGTCCTTGGCATACTCAAACAACGTGTAGGTCATGGCGGTGCCGAGGTTGGCTTCCACCGCCTCCTGTAGCTTGGCTAGTATGCTCTCCTTTATGGCTGACGATCTGGAGTGACAAGAAATATATTGCTAGCGGAAAAGCAAGAGTGTGAAACAAAAAAACCCCATGAAAATAAAACACTGCTCACATGGTGTTGTTAAAGAAAGCGTTCATGGAGATGACTGGGGGGGTCTGCGGGTATGTCTCCGTCCAGGAAACCTCGATGAGGAAGGCTTTGGGATCACCACTTTCACCTATCTGAGGAAAAGGGAAATCTCAGGCTTGTAAAAAGTAATACAAGACAGAATATTTCATTATGATCTTTAGAATGAATCCTTTCCAATGCTCATGGTCAGGTCAGTGGTTAGAGCATCAGCCTGCACACCAAAGGTCATGGGTTCGATTCCCGGTCAAAGGCATGTATGTACCTGAGTTGTAGGTTTGACACCTTCCTTTGCGCAACCTCCCCATCCCCCCATTAGGGAGCATGTGGGAGGCAACCAGATGCCTCTCTTTCAGCCCCTCTTCCACTTTCTCTAAAAATCAATGGAAAAATATTCTCAGGTCAGGCTTTACCTAATTAAACAAACAAATAAAAATAATTGATGTCATTTATAATTGATGTGTCTTCATTTAAATGCTTCAGGAAATCCAAAAACATAATAAATCCAAACCACTAAATTTAAAAACAAAATCAGCATTTATTAGCCTTCTCCAGCAAAGCAATTAATTAATGCTCCTACATATGTCAACACTTACCCTATATTGAAATGAAACTGGACTTAATTCCCGGAAACTTTCATCTCCTTCGTATATAGAACGTAATGCTTCCAATTCCATCTGCAAGAAATGAATCCAGTGCATTTTGTTTAGTGCTATAAATGGGCTAGAAGTAGAGGGTCTGATTCAAGCCCACTCAACTACGTAACAGTTGACGAACGTAGCTTAGATGTTTATAACATACAGGGACATACCAACACAGTATGATAATGCCGATACTAATACTTCAAAACCATGTGCCAGGCACTGCAAAGCGTTTTACAGTGTATTATCTCCCTTGATTCTCACATCGGTCCTGGGAAGAAAATCTCACTATCTTCCCCTTCCAAACAGGGGAGATAAGATTAGGATTAAAGCAACCCCAGAGCGCATGCCCTGCATCACTGCCAACGAGTCGCCTGGACAGAAAGAGGAGCCTGGACAGAAAGAGCGTAAAAAAACACTACTTACACATCTTGTACTTGTAACCCTTCCCACAGAATGATACAAAACTGGTAAGAAAACTTAAAAACAGGAAAAAGAGCTGTGAAACAATGGTAGTTAGAAAAAGGTTGACAAGGACCGACCCAAGATAGGAGAAAGGAGAGTAAGAGTGAGGAAGACCCTGCCTGGAAATATGTCTTAGAGGAGACTGGCTGCTGTCGTGATCGCTGGGGACACTGGAGAAGAGAAGCCAGGAGAGGCTGCACTTGGATACGTATTTCAGCTTAAAAAAACCACGTCATGAATTCCACAAACTAAAGATGGGCGGATCTGATCTATGTGGACAACCTTTTAGAACAGATTATTAAACAAAGCATGAGAGTAAGTAGGAGTTTCCTAAGACCTAGTAGGCACATGAGAAACAGCATCTATGTCAACAGCCCTTCTTAGAGAGCCTCCCTAATTACAGGAAGGGCCCACGATTTCTCGTTACTGTTACAGAAATGTAAACTAGATTCAAGAACAACCGAGCAGTACCCTGGCCCGTGCGGCTCCGCTGGCTGGAGCATCGTCCCGGACACCACAAGGCGGTGGTGGGCTCCTTGCCCAGGTTTCAGGTTTGTGCCCAGTCAGGGCGCAAGTGGAAGGCAGCCAATCAATGTTTCTCACATTGATGTTTCTCTCTTTCTCTCGCTCCCTCCCCACTTTTTCTCCCTAAATATCAATAATAATAATAATAATAATAATAAACAAAAAATAACTAAGATTAGATTGGAACAAACTTACTCAAAATATAGTGCTACTCTGTGGATCGCTAATCCTTTCCTGCCTTTTCATTATCAACCTGGACAGGCACGACAGCAGAAGGCAGGCTTGCAGACTTGTGGATGACAATTTGATGGGATAGTGCAGTGGTCCACAAACTGCGGCTCTTTGGCCCCTGGAATGTGGCTCTTCCACAAAATACCACTTGGGGGTGGGGGTATTCAAAATAGATGCGCCCAGGCCAAAAACCGACTTCTGCATGCACACCCGCATGTGGTATTTTGTGGAAGAGCCACACTCAAGGGGCCAAAGGCCACATGTGGCTAGCGAGCCACAGTTTGCCGACCCCTGGGGTAGTGAATCACGCTGGTAGCAGAACGAAAATTCACACAGTCCTTGCCAAACAACCTCACAGGATGACACCGAGAGGCTAAAGTCCTCGGATACCTAAACACACAAGCAGAGGGTGAAAGGCCAATTGCTTTGCATAAAGCGCGTAAAGGGCTTAGTGGACAGTAAGCCTAACTGTGGAGAACGGTGATGCCACCCTTTTAAAACAGGGCGCAGAAACACACGAACCCAGGAGAATTTCAAAAAATGGTCACCGAGCTCTGGCCGGTTTGGCTCAGTGGATGGAGCGGCAGCCTGTGGACTGAAGGGTCCCAGGTTCGATCCCGGTCAAGGGCACGTACCTTGGTTGCGGGCACATCCCCAGTGGAGGATGTGCAGGAGGCAGCTGGTCGATGTTTCTAACTCTCTCCCTTCCTCTCTGTAAAAAAATCAATTAAAAATATATTTAAAAAAAATATATATATATATAGCCAAAGCCGGTTTGGCTCAGTGGATAGAGCGTTGGCCTGTGGGTTGAGGGGTCCCGGGTTCGATTCCCGTCGGGCACATCCCTGGTAGGGGGTGTGCAGGAGCAACCGATTGATGTTTCTCTCATCGATGTTTCTAGCTCTCTATCCCTCTCTCTTCCTCTCTGTAAAAAATCAATAAAGTATGTTAAAAAATATATATATATTTAAAAAAAAGAAAGAAAAAAAGAAACTCCGATCCCAGTGCTGCCTGTGCCCCATGGGCCGATCGCTCATGCCTTCGCAGACCTGCGCCTCGCCCGCCCCCATCACCCCGCCAGGCCCCCTCCGCCCCGATGGCACCCAGCACCCCTCCCACGTGACGTGCGCTCACCGACGGCTGTCAGACGGACAGGACCTCCCCCCGAAGGTCACGGCCAGGGCCGCGGACCCCGCGCCACGCTGTCCTCCGTCGGAGATTTAACCCAATTACCCGCCCGCCGATGCCACATCCGAAGGCGATCCGACCCCATCGGGCACGGCTCCGTGGACACGCGTCCCACGCGCGGCCCGACAGGCGGGCCGAGTCCACCGGGTGGCGGACCGAGGACGCGCGATCCCGCCGCCCAGGCGTCGGGGCGGCCCCGGGCCGACCGGACCGAGCACGGCGGGGCGCGGGGCGGCCGCGGCGGCGCACTCCGGCCGGGCTCGCGGGCACCGGTCCGCCCGGGGCACCGGCCCGGCTCCGGCCGCCGGAGGGGCGAGGGCGGGCACGTGCGGGGAGGCGGCCACCCTCCCTCGGGCCGGGGCGGACTCACCTCCTGGTCCTCGTTGGCGCTCATCGCGGCCGCGAAGAGCACCGCGAGCGGCGGCCCCGAGGCCCTCGGCCGCGGGAGGCGCACCCTCGGCGCCGCAGACGGCGGTCACGCGCACCCGCGGCCCTGGGGCAGCGCGGAGCCGCCCGCGGAAGGGCTGAGGGCGCGGAGCCCGAGGCCGTGGCAGGCGGGGCGCCGGGGCGTGTGGACGGAGACGGCGGAGCCCCGAGGCCGAGGCCCCGCCCCCTCTTTCCGCCCGCTCCTCCTATTGGTTCCGCCTCGCTCCGTCCGCCTCCTGCTCCCGAGCGTCTTCCCTACGTCGTGTGGAGCGGCGTCAAGCTCCCGAGCAGCGATTGGCGCAGAGCGCTGTCACTCAGGCCCAGGAAGCGCTTCCTGGGCATGCGCAGGCGGGCGGAGGGAAGTCCTGCTCGCTGGACCCGGCTGTGAGGCGGCGGCGGCTGCAGGACTCGGCCTGGCTGCCTCGGGCTCCCCCGCCGGCTTCCCCTCGGCCTCCCCGGCTGGAGGCGACCGGCCGCCAGCTGCAGCGGGCCCCGTGCACGCGGCCTGGGTGAGTCCGGGCCGGAGACCTGCGGGCCAGGCGACACCGCCTCGGGAGAGCGTTGGCTCTTCCTGCGGGGGTGAGGGGCCTGCGTTTTGCAGCGGCGCCAGCGGGTGCAATGCCGGCATCGCTCCTTTAGCCCCCGTGCACCTGTTTCCAGGGCCTCCCGGTGCAAGGGGGCTGGGGAGGAGGGTAGAATCTGCTTTTAGGGGTCCAGCGTCGTTTCTCTGCCTTTCCTGAATTCTGTGATCCTGGGACGGTTCCTTTTTCTGAAATCAGTTGTTGGTTCACATCCTCAACATCAGCTTTTTCTTTTTCTTTCCCCCCTCTCCCCCCCAATCATCCCAGCCTCAAACTGTCGTTCCTATTTTGGTCATTTTGTAGTAGAACTTCTTTGAATCTTATCCTCATTCGCCTTGCCCTCCACCCTGAACCTCCATTCATCAAATAGTGACCACATACATTTATCTTCCACTCCGAGCCGGACGCCTTCCTTTGCATTGTACCGTCCTTCTTCCCAGGAGTCTTCCTTATGATCGTGCATGCCAGCTTCCAGATTGTTCCCTTGCACTACGTGGTTCCCGGCCCGGGGTGTTATTCCTTCTGCGCCTCCGTCCACGCCCTTCAGCGAGGCCCATGAACCTCTGTACCTGTCCTTGGCCGCCCCATTCCTTTGCTGCAGAATAAGCGCGTCCCATTTCAGGTGCCAAAGCTTTTAGGATAGAATGTGCAAGAATTTCAGATACAATTTTCATTACCGGGGACAGAATTACAATGATTTAGAGCTGCACTGCCCAGTATAGTAGCCAGTAGCCAGATGTGGCTGCTGAACATTTGAAATAGACTAGACCAATTTGAGATGTGCTTTCAGTGTACAGTACACACCAGATTTTGAAAACTTAGTACAAAAAAGGACAATATCTTGATGATAATTTTTATATTAATTTTGAAAGGATATTATTTTGGATATATTGGTTAGATAGAATATCATTAAAATTAATTCCACCTATTTGTATTTTCTTGTGTGACCGCTAGAGCAGGCGTATAGCTACACAGTAGGGTTGATTAAATCTGCTGATGTGGTATCCGAGATATGGAGGATCGACTAGATGATTAGCATATTATTTTAGTAATATCTCAGGAGTTCAGAAATTAGATGTTAGCAATTACAGGGAAATTATAGATAATTACAGTTTTTATATATCTATGTCAATAATTATTTTTCTTTATAGCTGAAGTAGGTCATGAGACCTTTTAATTGGATGGCGTTCTGCTTTCTTGCTCTGCTCATTCCAAAGTTCTGTGTGCATTTTGAGATGTTACTGAAAACACTGATTAGTCTTAAAGTTGACTACCTTTGTAATATGAAAGATTTTAAAAAAAATACAATACCAATAGTTATCAAATTTCAATAGGTCAATTTAGGAATTAAAGTTTTGAAAATTTTTTGATTTCTTTTGTATTTTGCAGACACTTCAGAGTCTTTTGCCTTTTTGTAACGTTTTCTAAATGGTGGAGATTCACATATTAGGAATGGATTTGGGCTTTTAAGAAATGAGTTACAAATGTATCAACATTCGTATTTAAAATTTTCAGGACGCCGTGAACATGGGTCCCACACAGTGGGACTTCCCTGTGGAATTATGCTGTCGGCCGATGGCCTTTGTCACTCTCACCGGCCTGGATGTGGTGTACAACGCCGTCCATCGAGCCGTCTGGGATGCTTTCTGCGCCAATCGGAGGGCTGATCGGGTACCGATCTCTTTCAAGGTGCTCCCCGGTGACCATGAGTATCCCAAATGCAGACCCAAGGTAACGGCATTGTGATTGCATGGGCCGTCCTCCCTCTCTCCCTCTGTATGTGTGTGTATGTCTTCTTTGTTCCTGTTGTCTGAGCTCGGAAACCCCTGAGTTTATTAAGGGGATGGTTACAGTGATGAGTATAGAAAACCCTGGACTTTGTCAAGTCTGTAATACACTACAGGTATCCTATATAATGAGAGAGGAATATGCTCATTATCTGTTATACAGTGAGGCTTAATGACCAATCGCATAACGACCGGATCACAGATCTGCAGGAGGGTGGGGCAGTGAGCTACAAGCAGGGGGCGATGGAGAGCTACAGGAGGGGCAGGGCAGCAAGCTGTGAGGGAGGTGAGTGGCACAGGAGGCGGCAGCGAGCTACTGGTGCACGGATTCCTGCACAGGACTACTAGTGTTTAATAATAGTTATTTTTCTAAACCTAGCAGAATAATTACTTTATAACTATGAAGCTTTTTATTCAGTGAGCCTAGTTTTTCCTTTAAAAAAAACACACAACAAAACAAAGAAATCTCCATAAAGGCCTCCCTATTTAGAAAGGTTTCGCATTCTCCGTTACCAGTATCGCTGTAGCATCCATGGTCTTCACAGTTTACAAGTAAAGCGAAATGCCATCGTGGCAATATGTTTTGAAACAAATGAAGCTATATTGGGTTTCAGATAACAGTTTATTTGAGCAGCTTTTTACAAGAGCAGAAGCTTGACACGGTGAGGAATCTAAGTCAAATTTACCTAGAAAAGGGCTGTATGCTTCCAGGGTATTTGAGAGCCTTAATATCATGAGAAACTCTTGAGTTTGTTCATTCTTTAACTGAAAATTGCCACAGCTTTGAGGTTGAGATCCTACCTCTACTGCTTTCTAGCTCTTATTTGGTCTCTGTAAACTGGAATTTCCTCATCTTATTAACAACGAGAGGCCCTGTGCAAGACATTCATGCATGGGGGTTACGGGGAGAGGTGTCCTTCAGCCTGGCCTGCACCCTCTTGCAGTCCGGGACCCCTTGGGTAGGGTCCCTAGGCTTGGCCAGCCATCAGGGCCTATTGGGGCGTTGTTTCCCCCCGGCTGCCAGCAGCTGGCCCCGCCCCCGCTGCTGCTTGCCATCTGGGTGGGTGCTGCTCCCCTCGTCCCCTGCCATCGGTTGCCGCCTCCTGCGGGAATGGGGTGCGATCGCTTGGCTGGCCTGGGCCTTCCTCTGTGGGGTGATCACTGGCCAGTGGCCTAGGCCTCCCTCTATGGCATGATTGATCTGGTGGGGCCCCGGATTGGTCGCCCCACCGGCTGGTGGCCTGGATCTCCCTCTTTGGGGCGATCGATCATGGAGCCCCCCATCAATTGCCCTTCAGAGGGTGGCCTGGGCCTCTCTGCGTGGGGCGATTGTGGGGCAATGGCGAGGGCCTCCTACTAATTGCATCACACCCGCCTTGGCTAGCCTGGCACCAGTGCATGTCATAGCATGGTCGTCCGGAAGGTCATCAGGACGGTGGTTCTGCTGTTTGGTCGTCCGGTCGGTTTGCACACTACGCTTTTATTAGTTCAGATGGCTTGGGTGTCTACTGAGTGAGATGAGTGCCCATAAAGTGCCTGGGGCTCAAGAACAGGTGGTTTCTGCTGCTCTTGCCATCGGGTAACTCGACAACTTCTGCCAATGCTCGCAGAGAACCTCCTACGAGTGGTACATCCCGAAGGGGATCCTGAAGACGGGCTGGATGAACAAGCACCTGAACCTGGTGCCGGCCCTGGTGGTGGTGTTCTACGAGCTGGACTGGGACGAGCCGCAGTGGAAGGAGAAGCAGTCCGAGTGCGCGACCCGCGTGGAGATCGTCAGGTCTGTCTGCGCGCCGGCCAGGCCGATGGCGGCGGGCACTGTGCAGGCTGCAGCGGTCGCGGTGGGGGTTGCTGAACTCCAGGGAAATGTGTTCAGTTCCAAACAGGACGCATCCATGTTAACTTAAATAATGCTGAGCTGGAGGAGGAAGACATTAGAAGACAGATTGGTCTGGATTTCCAAATGCTTTTTCTTGCATTTATATTTTTTGAAGATGCAGTGATTTGCTCGTTAGTCTCATAATACTTATGCCCTGGCACCAGTTCACTTTCAAAATAATTCTTTTGAATGGACTACTCTGGCGTGTATCACTATAAGGATATTGTATTATAACTTTTACGTGAAAGTATAAAACTTTTACTTTCAACACAGACTTTTGTAAGGATTCAAAGCTCAATGTGAGATTTTTATTTTTGCAATTGAAATCCTTGCGGTATATACGTTTCTTTGTATGCAGGAAAAGATTTTCCTCTAATCTTGTGAATTTTTTTAGTTGAATTTTCTTTCTTTGAATTATCAGATGTGTTTTATGTACGGTTTTGAATACATGCATATTTTTAAAATATGTTTTAATTGATTTCAGGGAGAGGGAGAGAGCTATGGCTGGAAACATCAGTGATGAGAGAGAAACCTTGGTCGGCTGCCGCCTCGCACGCCCCCTGCTGGGGATGGTGCTCGAACCTGGGCATGTGTCCTGACCTCCTGGTTCATGGGCTACTGCTCAGCCACTGAGAGATACCATCTGGGCTTGAATACCAGTATATTTCTAAAAAGACAATGTAATTATTTAATGCTAACATTTTTCCGTTGCAGGCAGAGTTTGCAAGGGAGAAACACAAAAGTGGCCGTGGTTCTGATTCAGAAGAAAACCCCGTTACCTCCAGGTATCAAAAAGTTAATGGTGAATTGTTTGATGCCTCCAATTCTTATTACCAAGAAGCATAATTGTTAATGTTGAAATCTTTTATGCATTCAGTTATGGGAAAGATAGTGTGTTAACTTAAAAAGTAATAGTAACACATGCATAATGCTTATTGTAAAAATTTAAGAATATTCAAGAGAGCAGGTCTTCTTAAGTCCTGCTCCCTGTCATTTATCTCCTGATGTAGGCATATAGCAACTGACAAAACAGCTCCCACTTGATATTTAAACAACGTTGTTTACTTATCTGAGACCTGTTTAAATATTAAATAAAAATATTCCTCATGTAATTTTTTTTCTTAATTTACAGAACGGCCAAGGAATATGCAATAGTATGTCTGATTTCTCATTAGAAAATGCCTAGGTTTTGCCCAGCCAGAGTGGCTCGGTTGCTGGAGCGTTGTCCCATGCACCGAAAAGGTCGTGGGTTTGATTCCTGGTCCGGCCACAAACCCACTGAGAGGCCAAAATATTTTTTGTTTCGGTGTTGACACCTGTAGCATCCTAAATCCACTTTCATGAATTATTGTTTCCACTTTTAGTTACGGTTTTGGAAACAGTAATGCGGCCTCTGTGTTGGCATTGCTTTGTGTATCTTGGCTCAGGAGGAAAGGACAAGTTTTTTCCTGACAGATCACGGTCTGGGTCACTTCTGAGAACCCACAGCGGTCCCGAGGGCCCAGGGACTCCTGCAGGCATGTGGCAGTGGTTGTTTTTTTAAAAATATATTTTATTGATTTTTTACAGAGAGGAAGAGAGAGGAAAGGGATAGAGAGTTAGAAACAAAGATGAGAGAGAAACATCGATCAGCTGCCTCTTGCACACCCCCTACTGGGGATGTGCCTGCAAGAAGGTATGTGCCTTTGACCAGAATCAAACCTGGGACCCCTCAGTCCGCAGGCCGACGCTCTATCCACTGAGCCACACCGGTTTCAGCGGTTGGGGTTTTTATTCTCTTGCTCAGGTTTGTGGAAACGCTCACTGGGAAGAATGCATTAATTATTTCCTCTCTCTCTTTCGGTGGGCCATGTCTGCAGGAGAGGACGTGATGGCTTCAGAAAGGGCTGCAGCTCTGTGTAATGCCTGTGAACTCTCAGGAAAATCTTTGTTTGTCCTGCCCCACACTGACCACCTGGTGGGGTATATTATAAGGTAAGTGAAGGTCTTTGAAGTATTTTTCTTCAGTAGATAGTTCATTAGGCATTGAGAAGTTGGAGGTGTAGACCCATTTATAAAAACAAACAAACATGTTCACGGGGGAAAAAATTCAAATGGTGTTGAGGAAATGAGATAGAAAGTAAAATCCCCTTAGTCAACTCTTTAACTTTCTCCAGTTCCATCAACATCTTACTACACTTGATCTTTGCCAAAAGGCTGAGAAGCGATTCCATTAGCAAGGACTTAAGTTTCCTTCCTAAAAATGTCTTTTTTTAAAATAAAAATAATATAACCATACAGCATATACTGAACTGCCATGTAACATCACCTCATTGACACCATATGTACCTCTAGGTCAACTTCATTTAAAAAACTCATATTTTAAATTGTACTTCTCGGTAACTACCCTATGGCCTTTTCTGACTTATCCTCTTATATGACAGTGTCTCTATTTCTGGCCCGTGTTTTACTTCGTTTTCAGTATGTTTATGTATGTGTAGGTATGTTCGGTAACTTTTAAGAAGGGTCTGAGTCCCATCATAGTTAGCCTGTCTTTGTAGACTTATCTCACAAATCATGTGACCATTGTCCAGTTCACAGAAGCAACTTTCTATTTTTTTAATAGATTAGAAAATGCCTTTTATGAACATGCACAGACCTATTACTACACAGAAATCAGAAGAGTGAAATCTCATAAAGAATTTTTGAATAAAACAACACACCAGGTACGTGTTTTTTCCCTGAAGAAGGAAATAATAAAGATTCTAGAGCTGATTAATTTGAGGGAGATAGTGAATGTCTTGGATGTTTTTAAAGGGCTTCAGTACTTTAAAGTTTTTTATTTTTAAGCATATATTTACTTATTTTGTTAATCATTACCCGAGGATATTTTTCCCATTGGTTTTTAGAGTGGAAAGGAGAGGGACGGAGGGAGAGAGACAGAGAGAAATATCAATATGAGAGAGATACGTCAATTGTTTGCCTCCCAAATGTGCCCAGACTGGGGCTGGGTATCCAGCTGCAACCTAGGTACATGCCCTTTACCAGAATTGAATCCGTAACCCTTCAGTCTGCAGGCTGATGCTCTAACCATTGAGCGACCCGACCAGGACTTTTTAAAGCATTTAAGAGCTAATTCATTTTTGTACTCTTTGCCCTTACTGTTCTTAAATGTAGATAGACTTTTATAGCCTCCTTAACTATACATATTTGTTGGAATAATTTTTGAACTTTAATTTTGAATATTTTCTTATGCTTTTGTGTCTCAATAAAAATTATTAAAAATTTTATATTTTTAAGAGAATATGTGTAATGATGTTTTTTCTATTATTTTTTCCAGCTTTTATTTGTTAGACATCAGTTTAAAATAGCTTTCTTCAGTGAGTTGAAACAGGATACACAAAATGCGCTGAAGTAAGTTTCTAACAGTTGTCAAACTAAATTTTTCTTATCTTGATGTTAATAATATAATATTAATGGCAACTTCTGAATCACAATCAAACTAATTTTAAAATTTTATGTTGATTTAGATTCAGTTATGTAGTATTTACTTTAGTTTATCTAGAGATGAGTGGAATATAATATTTTTAGATTTTAAAAAAATGCTGTTATTGTAAGTAAATTTCATAGAGTTATAAGGCTTTCTGGTCTACTGCCATTAAATGACATGACCTAAAGAAACAATATTAAAATCTTCCCACTTTCTACTTCTTATTTGTGTATTCAGTAAAATGCTGTGTTAAGATTGCTTTCTTCCAAAGTTAAATATACATATAAACGTTATCTAAGTCGGACTATGAATTTAAGTTGTATAGTGCATTTATTCAGTTAAGCTATGATTTTATTTATTTATTTGTATTTTAATTGATTTTATAGAGAGGAAGGCAGAGAAAGAGGGAAAACATGGATTGGTTGCCTTCTGCAGCTTGCATTTGTGCCCTGACTGGGAATCGAACGGCAGCCTTTGAGGTGTACAGGATAGCGCTCCAGTCGAACCACACTTGCGAGGGCATGATTTTATTTTAACTAAAGTTGGTTTTTAGTTTTTAATGCCTGTTGATAACATCATTTTTCATTCACTTCTCTGCTTAGAGCTTTGATGAGTAGTTGGGGATGTCTTGGCAGAACTTAAGCCTTTTATTCCTTTGCCACAATTTAATAAAACATGATCTCTTTCTAGCTTTGGCAGTGGCAGTGTAACAAAGGGATAAAAACAACTGTATATTCTAAAGTTAAGGACAGGCTAAGTGTACAGGGAGAAAAATCCTCCTATATAATAAAGAGGTAATGTGCAAATTAACCCTCACAAGATGGTTGCCTACAACCAGGCTGGCAGGGGGGTTAGTGAGAGATGACCCAACAACTGAACAAGCAGGCTATGTGGGGCAACCAGGCTGGGAGAGGGGCAGTTGGGAGTGATTAGGCTGGCAGGGGGGTCAGGGAGCGGCGACTAGGCCAGCAGAGCCGGGCATTGGGGGTGACCAGGCCGGCGGGGGGGGCAGTTGGCGGCCACCAGGCTGGCAGGGGGGTAGTAAGGGCAACCAGGCTGGCAGGGGGGCAGTTAGGAGCAACCAGGCCAGTACATAGAGGTAGTGTGGGGTGATTAGGCTGGTCGGTGGGTGGGGGGCTAGTTAGGGGCAACCAAGTAGGCAGACAGGTGAGCAATTAGGAGCCAGCGGTCCAGGATTGTGCAAGGAATGTCTGACTGCGGTTTAGGCCCGATCCTAGTGATTGGGCCTAAACTGGCAGTTGGACACCCCCCAAGGGGTCCCGGATTAGAGAGGGTGCAGGCTGGGCTGAGGGTACCCTGCCTCTGCCCCCGTGCACGAATTTCATGCACCGGGCCTCTAGCAGAGAAATAAATAAAAATAGAGTACGTCTGTTATTCAGAGGAATATTGCAGAAACCTCTTTTTGTGTGTGTTATTATTGAGGTGGTAAGTACCAAATTGTGTTCTCTAAATCTCAACAAATTCTGATAATTATAGCTGGCCTCACTGTAGTGTATTTTGAATCCAGGGTATTAGTTAAAAACCTTCATTCCAATTCTGTCCAAAAACACTCCTGGAAAGAAAGTGCCACCTGAAGCAGTAGGAGCGTTTTCTCTGAAGCAGACCGAGCTTCCTGCTGACGGTCACGTTCAGGGAGGCTCCTTGACCAGGCTCTCCTGTGTCCCACCCGCTCCCTCGGCGCCGCCGCCCTAGAATTCTCATTTCCCGAGACCAGGGATACCCACTTACCTTGTACAGACACTTGGGTTTCAAAGCTATTGACCTGCTCTCTTGGTAACACCTTCTTTCCTAGTACAGTTCTATTTGTTTGAGAAGTTTGTGTGAGGCTTTTAAGAAATAACTTATTATTATTATTTAAAAAAATATATATTTTATTGATTTTTTTACAGAGAGGAAGGAAGAGGGAGAGAGTTAGAAATGTCGATGAAAGAGAAACATCGACCAGCTGCCTCTTGCACCAGGGATGTGCCCACAACCAAGGTACATACCCTTGACCGGAATCGAACCTGGGACCTTTCAGTCCACAGACTGACGCTCTACCTCTGAGTCAAACCGGTTTCGGCAGAAATAACTTATTTTTTAATAATGCTAATTTAAAAGCAAATATTGATTTCAGAGAGGGAGAGAGATTTAGGAACATCAATGATAAGAGAGAATCATTGATTGGCTGCTTCCTGCATGCCGCCTTCTGGGGATGGAGCCCACAACCCAGGCATGAGCCCTGATCAGGAATCAAACTGTGACCTCCTGGTTCATAAGTCAACACTCAACCACTGAGCCACTTCGGCTGGGCAACAATACTAATTTTTAAATGTAGTTTTGGACAATTTTCCACTTTTCTTTAGTTTTTCAACTTTTCCTTTCAGTTATTGACAGGTGTTAATGACAGAGCAAAGGGCAGGTGATGGTACTGTTTTAATGAAAAGTCATTGGAGCTTCTCAGACATTATTGTTATTATTATTATTAAATATATTTTATTGGCTTCAGAGAGGAAGGGAGAGGGAGGAAGAGATAGAAACATCAATGATGAGAGAATCATTGATTGGTTGCCTTCTGCACGTCCCCTACTAGGGAATAAGCCCACAACCTGGGCATGTGCCCTTGACCGGGATTGAACCTGGGACCGTTCAGTCCACAGGCTGACTCTCTATTCCCTGAGCCAAACCAGCTAGGGCTCACACATTGGTGTTTTTTTTTGTTGTTTTTTTTTAATATATTTTATTGATTTTGTACAGAGAGGTAGGGAGAGAGATAGAGAGTCAGAAACATCGATGAGAGAGAGTCATCGATCAGCTGCCTCTTGCACACCCCCTACTGGAGATATGCCCGCAACTAAGGTACATGCCCTTGACCGGAATCGAACCCGGGACCTTTCAGTCCCCAAGCCGACGCTCTATCCATTGAGCTAAACCAGTCCCGGCTAGGGCTCACACATTGTTAATCCATATACCATTTTTTAGGAAATCAGAGCTTAATATGTATATGTCATTGAGCTGTTGTGTGCTAAGAAATGTTGACTCTCCATTCTGTTATTTTTAATAATGTTGTTCTTAGGAATCTTAAAATTAACTTATAGCGTATTTAATCTCTTTCCTCGTGTTTCTCTTAGGAATTATCGGACCGCCTACAATCTTGTACATGAATTGAGAGCCCATGAAACTAATATTCTGGAAATTAAGACTATGGCAGGATTTATAAACTACAAGGTGAGAGTTCTAATTCCATGTAAAGGAAATTTGTTTTTAAGTATCACATTATCTTTTTTAAATTTGCAAACCAAATCAGCTGCTTGTTCTAAAAAGTATTAGGTTAATAATGCACCTCTTTTATGTCCTTATCTCAAGGACACCTAGTGCTTAGCAGCCTAATGGCCATGCTTGGTTTTGAGTTTATGGGTGTCAGAGTTCTAAGGGGGTCCTTTGTCTGTTTTTAAGTGGGAGCAGGAAGGAGAGAGAAGATGCCTATATTATTGAATTTTAAAAGGTTGAACATGTTAGAACCATGTAAGGCTTCCTTGGTTTAATGCATAGCCATAGGAAAAGTGTAACTATTCACCATAGTGGAAACTTTTATTCATATTATTTACGCATTTTAAATTTATGTACGGTAGGAATAGATGCCCCCAGAAGGCAGGTGAGAGCTGTTTGATTTGATTCTTGATCTTCCCACATTCAGTATTTTAAAGATGGCTGGCACTGGGTTGGTGATGTGAGGGCAGATGGTAACTTTATTGTTTCTGGAAGGATAAATTGGCCCAGCTTCCATAGAGAATGTTTTTCAATGACTATAAGTTTAAAGTGGATGTTGTCTTTGATCTTAGCAATTCCATTTCAGGAAATTTATCTGACATGTTTGCTAACGTGCAAATCATACATATGAGGATATTTATTGCATCCTGAAGTAGGAAAAGATTGGAAACAACCCAGAAATAAGTGACTGGTTAATATAAATGATAACCCCAGGCTTTTTTCTAAGGCATAGAATAGACTCAGTATGATACTGAGTAATTTTATTCATTTATCAAATGGTCATAACCTCTGGTTTTAGCATAGCCCTTGTCATAGAGAAAATTGATTCTATCTCCAAGAACTTAAGAGAAGGAAGCTCCACAGTCTTTTAAAGTTAGTCTCTATGTTTACGTCTTTTCATGTAAAATGAATATGCCTTCTGACTTTGATTTTCTCTTTGGGCTGATTTTACATTTTGCAGATCTGTAGACTGTGTTTTCAACACAACACCCCATTGGATGCAATTGCTCAGTTCCGAAAACACATCGACTTGTGTAAGAAAAAAATCGGAAGCGCGGAGTTGGCCTTTGAGCATGCTGCATGGATGTCTAAACAGTATGTTTCCAGTTGTACTCTTAGAATATATATACATATTTTTTTTAAATACTTGGGATGGGGGAAATGGAAGACATTTGTAATACTGTCAACAACTTAAAAAATACGTGTGATATGAGGGCTAGAATTGGCATGGACTTTGATTTAAATTGAACTAAGATTTTTGTCAGGAAGTAGGTTTTTAATGGTCTTGCATAAGTATGTTTCTAGTAATCCTTATATAATAAAAGGGTAATATGCAAGGTGACAGAACAGCGGAAAGACTGTTCACTATGACCACCAGGGGGCAGACGCTCAATGCAGGAGCTTCACCCTGATGGTCAGTGCGTTCCCACAGGGGGAGCCCCACTCAGCCAGAAGCTGGGCTCATGGCTGGGGAGCACAGCGGTGGCGGGAGCCTCTGCCGCCTCTGCGGCAGCACTAAGGACCCCTTGGAGGATGTCCGACTGCCGTCTTAGGCCGGGCTGGCGGACATCCCCTAAGGGGTCCCGGACTGCGAGAGGGCGCAGGCCAGGCTGAGGGAGACACCCTCTCCCCTACCCCCAGTGCATGAATGTCGTGCACCGGACCTTTAGTTTAGTATATATTTATTGAGATTCTAACGTGTCTAGGTACTGAGAATATAGCAGCGAACAAAACAAAATCTCTACTGACATGGAACTTCCTACTTGAGACCCATGTTTAAAAATTGCTGAAATGAAGTTGTTCCCAGAGTCACGGATGTATTTGATGGTGGCAGCTATGCTGGCATCTAGTTTGGGAGGATATTGTAAAGGCTTGCAGCTCAGAAGAGTGGACTTAGGTACAGAATCTGTTACCCATAATTGATTAGTGTGTATTAGTAGTTATGCAGGAAGTCCTACTCACTTATGATTCGTCAGTAGCACTATTTTAATCCAGACTGGTGAGGTGATGGTTCCAGGATGAATAAATTATAAAAGTAAGCTTTTGCTTTTTCATTCTTTTTTTATTTCTTGATTTTTTTTTTTTCTTTAAGATTCCAGGCCTTTGGAGATTTATTTGATGAAGCTATTAAGTTAGGGTTGACAGCTATTCAAACTCAGAATCCCGGTTTCTATTACCAGCAGGCAGCGTACTATGCCCAGGAGCGGAAGCAGCTCGCAAAAACCCTCTGCAGCCACGAAGTAAGTGACTGACCCCAGAGCCATCTGCCATTTAGGAAATTGGTTCCTCTCCTCTTGAAAAAAGATTAACTAAATGGTGTGGGTCATTTTTTCCCAAGCCTTTGAATAGAATCGGCTTTTTATATTTCAGGAATTGTTTTTTTTGTGTGTGTGTTTTTTAAAAATATATTTTATTGATTTTTTTACAGAGAGGAAGAGAGAGAGGGATAGAGAGTTAGAAACATCGATGAGAGAGAAACATCGACTAGCTGCCTCTTGCACACCTCCCACCGGGGATGTGCCTGCAACCAAGGCACATGCCCCTGACCGGAATCGAACCCAGGACTCTTCAGTCCACAGGCTGATGTGCCATCCACTGAGCCAAACCGGTTTTGGCTATTTCAGGAATTGTAATCATTTTCCGTTTTAGCCTGAATACTCCATTTCGCCTGGGAATTAGAAGTTTTTCTTAGAAGAACTGGCTTAGGTGGTCAATAAGCTGGTGATTTAGACAAGAGAAAACTATTCTAAAATAAAAGCCACAGGCAGCCCGGGCCACGCTGTAGGCCAGCGTCCCGTTTCTGTGCGCACGGCTGCGGGAGCTGGAAGGGCCCAGCAGACGTGAGCACCACTGTGCGCCGGAGCAGATGCCTCTGTGCTCCTTTCTCTTTCCGAGGCTCCCCTCGGGAGGACTCCTAAGAATCCGAGACTTCATGTGGATTGCATCGTTTCTTAAACTTGACAGTTCATTTTACCTTTCTCTTGGATGGTTATATTTAAATACCGATTTCCCATAAGCATAAGGTGACCAGATGTCCCACTTTTGGCAGGACAGTCCCGATTTTTAACGATTTGTCCCGCATCTCGTGTTTTAAAAAGAATCTTTCCAAAAATCGGGACTTTTTAAAAACGCTGCAGGACGCGGGACAAATTGTTAAGAATTGCCAAAAGCAGGACGTCTGGTCACCTTACATAAGCACCTTAAAATAAGCACATGGTGTGTGTGTGTGTGTGTGTGTGTGTGCGCGCGCGCGCGCGCGTGTGTGTGCATGCATTTACATTCATGCAGCGGCATCCGTTTATTTTCACCTGAAGTTAGCTTTCTTCTCTGAAGATGGGGGTCTTGTCAGCAGCACCTCACTGGTATTTGAGTGGGCTGGTGTCTGTGTTTGTACACACTCGCTCTGTCACGGAGGGAAAGCTGGTTTGTGTGGTCACAGGGACTCCTGTTCAGGCTGTGTGTTCCCTCGCAGGCTGCGGTGACGTATCCCAGCCCTGACCCGTTGGAAACACAGACAGGCGCTCTGGACTTCTACGGACAGCGGTCCTGGCGGCAAGGAGTACTGAGTGAGCTCCTCCCCTCCTCCCTTTTCAGCCCCGGGAGGCAAAGATCACTCTCATAGCGTTCCTCTTGGCTGCCTTAGGCAGAGCAAATTGTTGAGGTGAAAATGAGTGTTTTTAAAATACTTTTTAAATTTTTTTTCAGTTTTTAGAATGTTTTGTTTGTATTCCTACTTCTGAGAATAATTTAAAATTAAAAATGGGATAGGATTAAAGTATTTGAATATCTGTTGTCTTAACTTTAATGATTTGTTTGATATTTTATTTTATTTATTTATTTTATTTTAATTTTTAAAAAATATATTTTATTGATTTTTGTACAGAGAGTAAGGGAGAGAGAGGGTGAGAAACATCGATGAGAGAGAGTCATCGATCAGCTGCCTCTTGCACACCCCCTACTGGGGATATGCCCGCAACCAAAGTACATGCCCTTGACCAGAATTGAACCCAGGACCCTTTAGTCCCCAAGCCGACGCTCTATCCATTGAGCCAAACCGGTTTCGGCTGATTTGTTTGATATTTTAAAACAGCATTTGTATCACCTCAAAAATAATTTCTCTGCATCTTTTTTGTGTGTGTTTTATGCAAACTTAATTCCATTGGAGCAATTTCTGTGGCAAGTGTAGAAATTATTTACTTCCGTCTCCAGGAAGGAAATTCTGTCTAGAGAATGACGGTGGTGTTCTTCTCCAGGTGGTTGATTCCACTTGGCAGAGAACCCTGAGCTCAGCGATGTTCTCTTTGGAACAGAGGTCACAGCGAAGTTGCCAGGCTAATAGAACTGTCTCTGGCAGTCGTTAAAAGTTCTAGAATGTTTCAGAATTGTAACTAGGTTATATTGAAGTAAGGATTCAGGAGTGTGCACACCCGCCTTCATGTGGAGGAGCCATGTTCGGTGTGCTGACTAAAATGGGTTGGGTCTCACCCAATGCAGGTTTTGACCTTTCGGATCCTGAAAAAGAGAAGGTGGGAATTCTTGCCATTCAGCTGAAGGAGAGAAATGTGGTTCACTCGGTGAGTTTTTCCCAGGGCCAGCTACTTTTTACAGTATTCAAGTTATTTTTGTTAGAAAGTCTCACACTATCTTCTCTAACAGGAAATAATAATAACTCTTCTGAGCAATGCTGTTGCGCAGTTTAAGAAGTACAAGTGTCCGAGAATGAAAAGTCATCTCAGTATGTATCCATGACATGCCACAGTTTCATCAATTGGAATGTTTATGTATTAATACTAAATTATGTACATCAATCTTTCTTCCTGTGCAGTGGTCCAGATGGGAGAGGAATATTACTATGCAAAGGATTACACCAAAGCTTTGAAGTGAGTCATGATCACTGTATATTTTTATTTATCTTTTCCATTTTTATTTTTAATTTATTTATTGATTAAGGTGTTACATATGTGTCCTTATTCCCATATTACTCCCAACCCCCCTTCACTGTATTTTTACAAGTATTATGATTACCTTACAGCACAATTAGAAATTTGTACTGAAGGATTTAAAATTTCCCTATTTATCTCTACTTCTTTTTTTTTTTTTTTTAAATATATTTTATTGATTTTGTACAGAGAGGAAGGGAGAGAGATAGAGAATTAGAAACATCAATGAGAGAGAGAGTCATCGATCAGCTGCCTCTTGCACACCCCCTACTAGGGATATGCCCGCAACCAAGGTACATGCCCTTGACCGGAATCGAACCCGGAACCTTTCAGTTCCCAAGCCGACGCTCTATCCATTGAGCCAAACCGGTTTTGGCTATCTCTACTTCTATTAAACTCCATTTCTGTGATTTTTTTCAAGTACTATCTACTAGTACAAACAATCCTTTTAAAAGTCTTAAGTAGCCTCAGAGTTAGCTAAATATGAGAATACTTGTTAAATTATTTCAGTAAGATTTTCTGAAGTTTGGGCACTTTGTTTTCTCCCAGAACTGTCTCTCCCCTCACTCATCCCCCCCTCCCCCAGCTGCCTTCCCCCTCCTTTGTCCCGTGAAGCTGCTCAGCCTGTCTTTCACTCCATCGTCTCCAGGTTGCTGGACTATGTGATGTGTGATTACCGGACCGAAGGCTGGTGGACTCTGCTCACGTCGATACTGACAACAGCTCTCAAGTGTTCTTACCTGATGGCCCAGTTGAAGGACTACATTACCTATTCCCTAGAACTCCTTGGAAGGGGTAACGTGCTGTGCTTCCTGTTACATTCTGAGTTTTTAAGGTTATTCAGCAACCTGAAGCTGCTGAAAACTGGGAGAATAATTATGCCAGATATTCGGTAGTACTCTTGCTGTGCACAGGTCACTGCAAAGTGAAGGCATTCTTACCTTTTGTGGAACTGAACTAGCTGAGGGACTTGGAATTGAGAAAAACAAAGTCCTTCGGCTTCTTTAAAACTTGTCATAAAATAAGTTTCCCGTGGACTTCAGTGCAAGTATGTAAAGTGTTGGGGTTCACTTTAGGAAGCTGTCTGTCAGTTTTCTGGCAGCGTGCTTAGCAGAGACAGTTACTCAGCAATGTTTTTGTGCCTTCGGTGGGGGCGGTCTTATGTTCTGGTTTTTTTCTTCTCTTTCTTCACATTAGCTTCAACGCTGAAAGATGACCAGAAGTCTCGGATAGAGAAGAACCTCATAAATGTTTTAATGGTGAGCTGGAATTCTTCGTGTGAAGCGAGTTCCGGGGCTGCGTGCTTGGATCTGATGCCGGCACGTGCGTATCTGTAACCAGTTGAGCGAGGGTCTGACTCTGTGTTGTGCAGAACGAAAGCCCCGAGCCTGAGCCGGACTGTGACGGCGCCGCCGTGAAAACCGCGCAGAAGCTGTGGGCGGACCGGATCTCGCTGGCCGGCAGCAACGTGTTCACCATCGGAGTGCAGGACTTTGTGCCGTTTGGTGGGTGGCCAGCGCCTGCAGTTATTATTTCAGGGAAATTATCCTTATTTCTACGATATGAATAGGTGCAGAATAATAATGACAAAAGTCAAAGAATTTTTCAAAGTATAGTCATTTTTATAAATACACTGATTTTATTTATTTTCCCCCATTGATGATCCAAATTTTAAATAGTTTATGTCTTAAATTTACTTTGTTCATTTATCGTTCAGATGTTATTTGAAACACATTTTAAAGTTATCTAAAACACATGTGTTTTACTGTCTAGGGTAGTAGGTATTTTGGACGAAATTAAAAGTAACACAATGGTTCTTTTCCTTTAAAATGCTCCGTTAGTTACATTTCAGGAGCACTGGCGTTTTTAAAATTAGTGCTTGTTTCGGACCTGGAGTTTACTTAAATTTAGTTTGTTTTTAAAACGTGAGTTCCCTTTGTGTGCACGGACGCACTTCCCGTGAGCGGCCGGTGAGGGGTGTGCTGTGGGAGGTCCCCGCCGCGGAGGAGGATGGGCGGGGTGTGCGGGAGTGGACTCGGCCCCTCTGTTTCTTTCCAGTGCAATGCAAAGCCAAGTTCCACGCCCCCAGCTTCCACGTCGATGTTCCCGTGCAGTTTGACATCTACCTGAAGGCTGACTGTCCGCATCCCATCCGGTTCTCCAAGCTCTGCGTCAGCTTCAATAACCAGGTAACGGGGCCTGCTAACGGGCCTCACGGCGTGTGAACCTCACTGCGGCTTCCGTACATCAGAGAACGTGAGCTTAGTGGGCTGTAGGTCTTAATGGTTTTGTAGGAAATTAAACAATGTGTATAGTAGTTCTCAACGTGATTCGGATTTAACATCTTTCCTACTATTGATTTTTGTTTTTCACTCCATGCTTATGACATCTAAGAACGTTGGTCTGTACATTTTTGTAATGTGTAACTTGAATTCCAAATAAGATACCTTCAGAATGAGTGTAATTTTCAAAACCACTCGCTCTGCACATAGCATTGATATAGTTTCTCATGATTAAGCTACTAGGTGCCTGAGTTACAGAAGTTGAGGGGGGGTGGATGCAAATGCAGAGTCAGTGCGTGAGTCGTTGCTCCTCCACGTCCGTCCCCACGCTCACACAAGCTCCTTCTTTTTAAAAAAATATATTTTATTGATTTTCTTTACCGAGAGGAAGGGAGAGAGATAGAAAGCTAGAAAAATCAATGAGAGAGAATCATCAATCAGCTGCCTCCTGCACACCCTCCACTGGGGATGTGCCCACAACCAAGGTACACGCCCCCAACTGGAATCAAACCTGGGACCCCTGAGTCCGCAAGCCGACGTTCTATCCACTGAGCCAAACCGGTCAGGGCACTGTCACCGTCTTGAGTAGTCGAGGCGTTGTCAGCAGCTTCGCTCTGCAGCAGGGGGCCCGCTGTATTTCCCACGGGTGAGCACGTTTGAGGTGGGACGGAGTCAAGTGCTGCGTTCTCACTTTCAGCTAGAAGCTCACTTAGCAGATGATTGCCTCTGGTCACCCAGAGAGTGCCTGGTGCCTCTAACCAGTAAGCACTCACCGAGAATTACAATATTCTTGATATCATGGTGAACCTGTAAAGTTTGAGAATTTTAAAGCAAAAGCTTTAAGACATTTTATTCCAGTAACAAAACAGAGGGAGAGAAATGTTATGGAAACCAACCGGAGGCTGCCGTTATGAAGGCAGGGGCAGAGGCACCTGACCTTCCTGTGAGGACGTGGACAGGATGCCAGTGGTGGGAGGTGAGGGATGCGAGGCATTTCAATAGTCTGGGTTCCCCAGTGTTGATAAAGGACAGAGAATGAGGGCTTGTCACAGCCGTGGCGTCACTGGGGGGTTGTTCAGTAAGGACTTGTTTTCCTTTCTACAACCTGAGCCCACAGGACAGGTAATTGTTTTGCTCACCAGGAAATATTTTAAATCTGGGATTAGAGACAGTTTAGAGACTCGTATTTCACTTTGCTCGTATCCTACTATCCTATTTCTTTCCTTTATTAGGTAACAAACATAGACTATTTCTATAATGAAAAACTAATAAGAATATTAAAATGTAAAGCAATTATTTTTACGTTAGATTATATTCTGAACATGTGTTATTTGAAATTTAAGATACAGATCACAGGAAACATAGTGGCTCGTTCTTAGATTTCATAAGCATGGATTGGAAATGAAAATGAGGGAAGGCAACAACATAGCCTGTAGGAGTTTTCTGAGAAGACACTCCACCTGCTGGGCTGCAGGCAGCTCCTGGGCGCTCTTGGCATCTGAGGACTGGGCGGGAGTGGCGCGTCCCCGAGTTTATATGGGGTGGGTCTGCGTTGGTGCATCGGGAAGAGGAGCCGCTGTGGGAAGACAGATAGGCGGTGGGCGTGCAGCTGGGCGTGCTGAATCTGGATCTCGTGAAACTACCCCGTAGGCCAGTGGTTGGCAAACTGCGGCTCGAGAGCCACATGCGGCTCTTTGGCCCCTTGAGTGTGGCTCTTCCACGTGCGGGCGCACACATACAGAGCGATTGAAACTTCGTGGCCCATGCACAGAAGTCGGTTTTTGGCTCTCAAAAGAAATTTCAATGGTTGTACTGTTGTATTTGGCTCTGTTGACAAATGAGCTTGCCGACCACTGCCCTAGGGTGTGGATGTGAGCTTCTGGTGAGGGAAACGGACAGAACTAGAAGCCTCTGTGTGGGAAATAGCAGAGGTGCGAGCAGGTAGACGGGAGGCTGCAGTGCAGTGAGCGCAGAGAGGAGAGTGAAAGCCCGCACGGACGCTGCAGCCTGGTCTCGGTGTGGGGGTAGGCGCCTGCTCTGCATAAATCTCCCTTCCCCAGAAGCCCTGCGTCCTGCTTCCGTGCAGCGGAGCAGCCCCAGCAAGCAGGCGCCAGCTCACAGCGTGACGTGTGGTGTTTGTGAACAGTGGCTCTCGCTGTCCTCTTTTTCAGGAATACAACCAGTTCTGTGTGATCCAGGAAGCATCCAAAGCAAGTGAAGTTTTAGAAAACTTGACTCAGGGGAAGATGTGCTTAGTTCCTGGTAAAACAAGGAAGTTTGTATTCAAATTTATTGCAAAAACTGAAGATGTGGGAAAGAAAATTGAGGTTAGTTATGAAATTTATTTGAAAGATTTTAAATGATAGAAGTATATGTGTATGCCGGAGAAAATTGAAGTGATGAAGATGTTTATTAAGGAAGAAAGTCTGCCACTTGGACTTTCTAAGGGAAAACCATTCATACTGGTTGGGGGTTTCCTTTCACTGAGATACATGCCTGGTTTTCAGTGGTTGGCTTTTCTACCTCATAGTGTATGTTAGACGTCATTTCCTGTTAGCACATGAGACCAACCTTATTTTTTAATGGTGACAAATCCCTTAAGGAATTATACACAAAATATATATAATATAGAATTGTATTTTGTATAATGTGACAATTCAGTCATTTTGATGTTTAAACATTGCTGATTGCATATTTTAAAGATAAAAAAAAATATGTGTGTGTGTATATATATATATATATATATTTTTTTTTTTTTTTTTAAAGGATTCTTTCAGTATAGATAATTCAAATGCCTTTCAGGCATATACAATGAAAGTAATGTTTTATTGAGCATAAACTCTGAAGCCAAACTATATGGGTTTAAATTTCAACTCTCCAGCTTATTCAACTCTCCAGCTTATTAGCTTGTGGCCCTGGGCAGTTTCTTGACTTGTTTGTGTCAATTTATTCACATGTAAAATGGGGGTAATAATAGGACCTACTTCTTAGTGTTTCGTGGGCATTAAATGAGTTAGCTAATGTAAATTGCTTGTAGCAGTTATTGGTATGCAGTAAGCACTCATTAAGTGCATGCTTTCCAAGGCTTGAATGAGAATAGTCGGCTAATGTCAACTTGGGACCCTTTCCAAGATGGAAGCTTTAGACTGTACTACCAATACTCACATAATAATTCCTATGAGTCTTTTGAATTTATTATTATTTAATATCCAGAGATTTTGTGTATTCATTTAAAAGAAATCTTCATGATTTTGACTAAATCCCTAATTACATATTTTTTACAAGGTACCTAAGGAAGCCTACTAGACGTAAATCATAATGAATAATATTATGTTGAGTATATTGTTGGTGGATTTAGTTGAAAGGAGCATTTGTTCAATTAGTAAAGAATATCATTGCTAATACCAGAGATGTCTTCAGGAAAAATGTGTGGAATGAGGTTGTGAATATATTAATGGTTATCAAAAACATTGGTTTATTTCACTCAGCAACCACTACTTGAGCACCTGTTAGATCAGGAACTGTGCCAGGTGCTGAAACCATGGCAGTCAGTGTTGTAGCTAAAAAGTCCAGTTATTCTCTGTTTGAAGGCCAAAATTTTTAAACTTAGTGTTAGCCCGTGTCCCAGCTCATCAGTGGCCATGGTAAGACTTAACGGCAAGTTTCTCTCTTTTTTCCTTTTTAATTGGTTTTCCTGAGAGGAAGGGGGAGAGAGAGGAGAAGAGGGAGAAACATCCATCAGTTTGGTTGCACCTGGATCGCTGGGGATCAAACCTGCAACCTCGGTGTGTGCCCCGCCCGGTGTACGGGACGATGCTGCAGCCGGCTGAGCCGCCCAGCCAGGGCAGCGGGAGTCTGACTTCTCTCGCACCCGGGTGTCTGCATGAACCCCACAGACCAGCCGTCTCCGGTGGGATTTGTGGAGAGGGGCTGGCGACACCCAGAGCGAGCTGGCCGTGCTGACACGCCGCCGCCTCCTCTCAGATCACCTCCGTGGACCTGGTCCTGGGCCACGAGGCGGGCAGGTGCGTGGTGCTGAACTGGCAGGGCGGAGGGGGAGACGCCGCCTCCGCCCAGGAAGCCCTCCAGGCCTCGCGCTCCTTCAAACGGCGGCCCAAGCTCCCGGACAGCGAGGTGCACTGGGACAGCGTGCTCGTGCAGGCCAGCACCATGTGAGTCGGGCTTGCCCGGCGGGCTCCTTCCCCCCACCCCCGTCTCTGTGGGACTCGTTGGTTTCCAAGGCGCCCAGGCCCTCAGCGGCGGTTCCCCCACAGGGTCATCTCCAGGGTCCCCAACATCTCGGTGCACCTGCGGCACGACCCACCCGCCCTGACCAGCGAGATGTACCGGCTGGTGGTGACGGTGCAGTCCCACGAGAAGACCCCGATCCGCGACCTGAAGCTCACGGCTGGCCTGAAGCCCGGTGAGCACGCCTTTTCCGTCCGGTCCGTGTTCGTGCACATGGCCCCGTGGCGCGGGCTCCAGGAGGTCCGTTTAAGATGTGGTCATGCCGAAACCGGTTTGGCTCAGTGGATAGAGCGCCCGACTGCGGAATGAAAGGTCCCAGGTTTGATTCCGGTCAAAGGCACGTATCTCGGTTATGGGCACATCCCCAGGGGTTGTGTGCAAGAGGCAGCTGGTCGATGTTTCTCTCTCATCGATGTTTCTAAGTCTCTATCCTTCTCTCTTCCTCTCTGTACGAAATCAATACAATGTATTTAAAAAAATAAAAAAATAAAATGTGGTCATGACGCACTGCGCTGTGTGCAGCGTAGACGGTTAGGACCAGCTCTGAGTTCTCTGGACTCTCAAACAGCGCTAACCCTTTCAGGGCAGGATGCCAACCTGACTCAGAAGACGCAGGTGACGCTCTGCGGGACGGAGCTGTGTGATGAGTCCTGCCCGGCGCTGCTCACCGACATTCCCGTGGAGGACCTGCGCCCCGGGGAGCAGGTGACCGGGCGCCGGCCGGGAGGAGGGCGCTGGGTCGCCGTGTAAATGGAGCGAGTCTTAGAGCGTGTCACAGCGTTTCCTGGGGCGGGACATGGGACTTAGCATCTTCACACTTTAATGTGTAAATGTCTTCAGCTTTTATACAAGGGGTTTTAGAACAAATGACCCTGATACGAGGCTTAGTTACCTGCTAAAAGGACTAAATAATATTAAATAACACTGTGTGTGTGTGTGTGTGTGTGTGTAGCTTAGTGAAATAACTTGATTCCAAGCCAAACACAAAGATTTCTTGTGTTTCTTTCATCATGGTGATGAAAAGATGGCGTAGTAAAGATCTCACTCTGACACCGCAGGAACAGCCTGTGGAAAGTGTTCAAGCATTTAACCAGTTGCTATGGTAAATGCCGGGACATTATCCCCAAATATACAGGGTGTCCCCCCAAAATGTATGCGCACTTTGACAGTTGATAGCTCAATTTTGAAAATGTATTTTAAATGATCACTGCCTTTATAATTATTCAGAATGTGTTGTCTACATTTTGGGGGACACCCTAACATGTCAGGTGGAAATCTGTAATAGTAATTAAATTAAAATACTTTTGTTTTGTTACAGCTGGAAAAAACATTATACATCCGCTGTGGAACAGTGGGTTCCAGAATGTTCCTCGTGTACGTTTCTTACCTGATCACGACAACCATTGAAGACAAGGAAATCATCTGCAAGTGTCACAAGGTCTGGTTTTCCGTGGCTCCTTCTGGAGGCGCCATGTTGTTTTAGTTTACTTGTCAAAAAGCAGGTGCTCAGAGTCTATTTCAGATTTTCATGAAAATCGGTTGATTTGTTTTTCTCACTGAAATTGATCATAAACAGTACAGTGAGGCATTTTTTTTTTTTCTGTAGACTTAACCATGTTTTTTGTAATGCTCACGTCTGTTAGTGGAAAACTGGTACTTAGTGTCTTACTCCTGGCAGCTGGCTGTCTCAGGGTTTTCTAGAAACCGGCTTCTCAGCCCGCAGGGGGGTTGCCTGGTTACCTGGGGGGTTGTCATTTGGTCACTGCAGAGTCTAGGCAGTGGGCTCTTTTAAGTTACTGGGAAGCAAAACCCTCCCAAGAAAATCAGGAGGGAGGAAGGCATGGAACGTGCTGTTAAAAGTTTCATCCAGCTCTGGCTGGTTTTGCTCAGTGGATAGAGTGTCGGCCTATCTTTTTTAAAAATTGATTTCAGAGAGGAAGGGAGTGGGAGCGAGTTAGAAACATCAATTTTATATATATATATATATATATATATATATATATATATATATATATATTTTTTTTTTTTTTTTTTTTTTTTTTAATATATTTTATTGATTTTTTACAGAGAGAAAGGGAGAGAGATAGAGAGCTAGAAACGTCGATGAGAGAGAAACATCGACCGGTTGCCTCTTGCACACCCCCTACATGCCCTTGACCGGAATCGAACCCGGGACCCTTCAGTCCTCAGACCGACGCTCTACCACTGAGCCAAATCGTTTTCGGCAGAAACATCAATTTAAAAATTTTTTAAAAAATATATATATATATTTTATTGATTTTTTTACAGAGAGGAAGGGAGAGGAATAGAGAGCTAGAAATGTCAATGAGAGAGAAACATCGACCAGCTGCCTCCTGCACACCCCATACAGGGGATGTGCCCGCAACCAATGTACATGCCCTTGACCGGAATCGAACCTGGGAACTTTCAGTCCACAGAACGACGCTCTACCACTGAGCCAAGCCGGCTTCGGCAATTTTTAAATTTTTTCAATCTGAGGGAAATGGGTCAGTGCCCCTGACTAAGTAGTCAGGTATTGCATGTTTTAAACAATGCTTGCGGCACACTGTTGAGCATTCCTGGCCTAGCTGGGTGTAACTGGATGCGCCTGGATGGTGAGTCAGCCGGTGAGGGTGCTGTCTCAGCGTTGCCTCCTGGCTTGGGAAGCTCAGGTGGGCCGTGTCGCTTCTCTGGCCTCTGTTTCCTTATCTGTAAAATCAGAACGTTTCAGTTCTGTGCAGCGCTTGGAGGGGATGGAGCATGTGGTCGGTCAGGCTCCAGGGTCCGATCTGGTTCCGTTTCTGCCGTGGTCACTTCCCAGCCACGTGCCCGACTCACCTTCACGCGGCGGTAATAGCGGCACGCGTTTCCTGGAGTTCTGAGCATTGCATTTTACAGGTGCAGTGATTAAACACTGCCTCACACTGTGTTATCGTTCTTGCTCTTTTACTCATCTTGAGTCGAGGCGACAGAAGAAGCCAGATTCTGTGCTTGGCACCGCGGGCTCTGTGGCCTGAGCCAGCCAGTGTCTTCCTGCCCTCTGGCGCCTGCAGCAGGAGGCGACCGTGCCTGCCCTGCCCCCTCACTGGGGCCTGACATAAACAACGCGCAAGAAGGCGCTTCTCAGTGTGATGGTGACACACGGGTTAATTTATTAGAAAAAGGGTCTGGTCTCCACATGGATTTTTAAATCATCGCTTCTTGCTACATACGTTGGGACTGTTTATTTAGACAGTTTGGTGTGCCTTCTGCTCTGAAAACTTTACAAATGCTTGCGATTTAGAACACCATTGCATGTGCCTTTCACGTTTTCCTGCAGGATGAAACCGTGACGATAGAAACGGTCTTCCCGTTCGATGTAGCGGTTAAATTTGTTTCCACGAAGGTATGTCCCCGTGAAGCAGATTGGGAATCATTCAGGTTATAGAGGTGAACGGAAAAAATAAGATGGATTCACCCTGTCTTCCTTCGTGACAGTTTGAGCACCTGGGGAGAGTGTATGCCGACATCCCCTTCCTGCTGATGACGGACCTGCTGAGCGCCTCCCCCTGGGCCCTCACCATCGTCTCCAGCGAGCTCCAGCTCGCGCCCACCATGGTGTCTGTGGGCCAGCTGGAGTCCCAGGTGGACAGAGGTGAGACTGCGGATCCCACACTGAATTGGCAGAAGAGTTAGGCGTGTGCATGCACATGCGTGTGCACTGTGCCCGCCTATGGGCGCGCACGTGTGTAGGCTGGCAGTGTAAGAGTTAGCTTTGGTAAGGAAAGGAACGGGACACTTATGCTCACAAAAACCAGATGCCTTTAGAATTCAGGTTGAATCAGCATCACTTACCATTTCAGTTACATTTTTTTTTTTAAATCAGGGTTTTGCTACGATAAAGCTACTTGTTAAAAAAGGAACCTAAAAAGGGTACAGCAGGGCCTCGAATATCACGGTTCCATTCACGGTTGTGTTGTCACCGTGTGAGGAGGCACCATAGGGGCGGAACTCCTGTTTCTGTCGGAGCCTGTGGTCTGGCTCTGTGCCGTCTCACTCAGAGGGGCCGTTCTCCCTCCTGCACGCCTCCCGCCCCAGCTTCTTAGCCCGTTCCTGCTGCACCTCCCTAGTCCATCAGCGTTGGTTCCATCGATGAGTGATGCCTATGTTAAGATAATAGCACCAGGTCTATTATCCTGAGGTCAGAAGTCCCAAAACCAAGGACCGGGTGTCTTTAGGCTCCAGGGAGACCCTTCCCTCGGCCTTTCTCTGTGTCTGGGGCTACTTGGGTTCCTTGGCTCGTGCCTCCTCCCTCCCATTCAAAGCCAGCGTGGCTCATCTTCAGAAACCTGTCTGTGCCCGCTGCTTCCATTGCCCATCTCCTCCTCGGACCCCTCAGTGCCTCCCTCCCTCTCCTAGCCTGTGGTAGCATTGGGCTCACCTCGCTGGTACAGGACGGCCTCCCACTTCAGAACCCTAATCCCCTCTGGAAGGCCCTGTCCGCCCTGGGAGGGCACATGCCAGCTCTGGGAGTGAGGGAGGGATACCTTTGGACGGGTGGGGGGCGGGGAGGACATTATTCCTCATGCTGCCGCCGCCGAGAACACCAGCCCTGGTGCACTGTCGGGTTTGTATCTGACACATTACAAATCGCAACTTTCCTCGCCATAAATGTGACCTTAATTGTTAGGAAAGTCTGTGATCATTTTGGTTATAACGTCTTAGAATTAGGGAGGACTTTGGGGGAATTAATATGAACACTTCAGGTTTGTATTTTATTTATTATTATTATTTTTAAAAATATGTTTTATTGACTTTTTACAGAGAGGAAGAGAGAGGGATAGAGAGTTAGAAACATCGATGAGAGTGAATCATCTATCAGCTGCCTCCTGCACACCCCCTACTGGGGATGTGCCCGCAACCAAGGTACATGCCCTTGACCGGAATCGAACCTTGGACCTTTCAGTCCGCAGGCCGATGCTCTATTCACTGAGCCAAACTGGTTTCTCCACTTCAGGTTTTTAAAAAAGCTATTCTAAGAGGGTAGAATTGATGTGAGTTCTGCTAACTGGGGTACATTATCATATCCTAGTCCTTAAAATTAATTAAAAGAAGTTAATTCAAGTATAGATGGACCCAGCTTTTTCCTTCTCGTTTCTGGTATCTACCCACAGTCATAACCATCAGTTCATCACAGCCTTCTGCGTGGGAAGCCCATGAAAACAGTTAGTAGTGTGTAGGGACTCAGCTGTCATTCTCGGGTGTTGCTCTTGATTTGCTGGCATTGGCATTAGATGGGCACTGCTGCCAGCTGGCGTTAACAGGAGTGACGTTGCATGCCAGGTCGTGCGAAGGGTAGGCAGGGCTTGGCGTAGAGGAACGTTCATCTAGTCATCAGGAGGTTTGCCGTTAGGTGGTGAGTGGAGCACATCTTTTCACGCGAGGTCAGTAGCCACGTCGGGCAGCAGTGAGTCACTGTTGGGTGTGTTCTGTTTTGGTGATCGCAACTCCATGTGCCTGTTCAGAGACATTCAGAGTCCTCTGGAATGCCGCTTTTACTGCTTTAAGGAATAACTGAAATTGCCCGGGTTTGTTTTTATTTCCTATTGGGAAACGTTTCCTTTGGAGACATGAAGTAATTTGGAGAAATAATCACCAGAGGGTGTTACTCTGACTCCAGACTCCTCGCCCTCACTGGGCCCCAGGGGAGCGAGTCACAGACTGGCAGCGGCCCGGCTGCCTTTTCTGCCGGGTTGGGAAGACGCGCGTGGGCGTGAGGATGCTGGGAGCCGCGGTGTCCGAGTCTGAGACGCGTAGCCGGGTTCCCGCTGTTCCTGGTGGGCCCGTGCGTGCGGGGACTGACTGGCTCCTGCCTGTAGTTGTCTTGCAGACCGGAGAGAGCGCGAGCGAGTGCTTCTGCCTGCGGTGCCCGGCGGCGGGGACCGTGGACGGCGGCGTGGCCACGGGGCACTACGTCATCTGCTGGAAGAGGTGAGCCGTCGGCGCTGTTTCTCACCGCCTGCGCTCTTCCCATGCCTTAGCTGCTCGTCGTCATCCTGTTGTAGTTGGGAGCTCTGTCAGTCCCCGAAGGAGGGGAAGCCACGGCTGTCACTGCCCGTGGCGGTCACTGCCCGTGGTCACACCCACGCAGATGAGAAAGGGCCATGCACTTCTGTCAGCGTCTCGTCCCAGTCCGTGACCTGCATGCTGAGGGAGTCTTACCGAACTACTTCTGATGCCTGGACCACTGACACGTTAGGAGAAGCTGCCCTTGTTTGCAGTTAGCAGGATTGCCTACATAGAACACCCAGGGGAGTCAACACATTGTTAGAATTGTAAGAGTCCCGGCGAGGGGGCTGGGTTTAACGGCAGTGTACAAGGTAATTGGATTTCTGCACGTCAGGCATAAACCTAGCCAGCTGGTGCGTGTCCATGGCCCTTAGCCAGCCGGGGCATGTCCATGTCCCTGTTGGGATGGATTGACTTTGCACGTGACATGTGACTGAGGTGCCCTTCTCTGCAGGACCTCGGCCGGGGACGGCCTCCCTGCCATCAGCACCGTCATCACCCTGCCACACGTGATCGTGGAAAACATCCCCCTGCATGTGAGCGCAGGTAACGCATCCAGGCTCGCGGGCAAAGGAACCCGAGAAGAATGGTGTTTCAGCTGCTGAGATTTTAAAAATCTTCTGATTGTGAGGAGTACCTGACATTTACCCAAGTAGGCTGTGACCAGTCTCGTTTCAGGTGCCTCTGCACACTCCTCCTCCCCCATCACTTTATCATTTCATCTCCAAATAGTTCAGAGTGTATCTGTAATATTAGTGGTTATTTTTCTAAGCCTAATCAGAATACCATTATCATGACTTTAAAATGGGCAGAGTTGTCTTAATATTATCGAATTCCAGTGCTGAAGTTTCCCTAGTCCGCTCTGAACGCTCCTTATTGGCCTGAGGTCTCTGTGGATCCGGGCAGCTGGCCGACTCCCTCTGCTCCTGGGCCATCGCCTTCCACATGTCACAACCCTCTGCCTTCGGCATGTTTCCTGAGGGACCGAGTCCCTGTCCTGTGGGGCTTGCTGCAGGCTGGATAGCATTTGCTGATTGCACTGCATCACTGCTAGTGTGTCTGTCCTATAAATTGGTAGCTTGATCTGTAGGCGCGGTCAGATTCAGGTTCAAGTTTGGGGCAGGAATACTTCACCATCCATGACATGTGCTCCCGTCAGCGGCACTGGATGTCCGCCATCCCCTTTGAACCATGGTAGATTTTAAAATTATTCTTAACATATAATGCAGCTCCTGACAGCCAGCACCCTTTCTAAGTCAGTCATTTTGAAAGGAGATTTGGAGTCATCTTCGCCTGTTTTTTCGCAGTCCCGTGGCCTTTTTTCAGTCGGGAAGTTTTATTTAGCGGGAGCGCCGGGATACCGTTAATTTAAATAAGCCGAGCATTGCAGAATGAGATTCATTTGCCAGGAGGACCCCCAGGTGGTAGGCTGTTTTCTAACCGAGAGGATGGTGTCCTCCCTGCAGACCTGCCGTCGTTCGGCCGCGTCAGAGAGAGTCTGCCCGTCCGGTACCGCCTGCAGAACAAGAGCAGCCTGGTGCAGGACCTGGAGGTGTCCGTGGAGCCCAGCGACGCCTTCATGTTCTCGGGCCTGAAGCAGGTGGAGGTCCCTCTCGTTGGGATGGTCTGGAGGCCCCGGGTGTGGCAGGGGAGGGAGAGCTGTGCGCGTGGACTGGCAGGACTGCCTGTGGCCCTGGGATTCTGATGGGGTGCAGTGTCAGGCACTTCTGTGGATCAAGTTCATTGTTACAGAGCGGAATCAGTGGCCAGGCCTGTCCACATTGAGATCTCATGCACAGGTCCTTTATCCTTAAAGCAAGAGTTCACAATTCCTTGGGCTGTGTAATGGAATCCCTGAAAATCTTAGATTGCACTTAGTTACTGAGTGTGTGTGTGTGTGTGTGTGTGTGTGTGTGTATCAGGCCTGGAGGCATGACTACCTATATTAAAAGCCTAACTCTCTTCAGCTCTATCAGGGCAGTGTTTCAGGGATTTTGTTATCAGTAAGTACTTCTTATTAATAGAACAGAACTAGAAGAACACCTGTATCGTAACACCTAGACGCACGTCCCCTGACTAGTCATCTGTGCCCTGCGTATGCAAAATAGAGCTATACACGATGCATACTCTAATTCATACACTAATTTAAACTGTTATATATTATGATCTTAGCTCTGTATGTTGGTGCACATGTGCATATATTACCTGTGGCATGTACCTGTATGCATTCATTTGCAAATGAGTAAGCTTTTCTTGAGTGTCTTTTCCCTCTGAAATTACTCACCTTAACACAAAGGTAAAATCCCTAAAGGAAAACACAAGAAACTGCTAGTGTGTCTTATGTGGACATCCTGTTTACAGGGACACTTTTCTGTAAATTACCCATACCCTTTGTGACTGTGAGTGTTACCTGGCCTACGACACAGAATATATCACTCCGTCAGGTGTGCTCAGTTTTAAGCTGGTACAGTTGCCTTTTAGGTCTTGGTAGAACAGAAATCATGCGCATATTTTTAAATAGGTTTTTATTGATTTCAGACAGATGAAGGGAGAGGGAGAGCGAGATTGAAACACCAATGAGCGATGTGAGAGAATCATTGATCGGCCGCCTCCTGCACGCCCCCTACTGGGGTTTGAGCCTGCAACCTGGGCATGTGCCCTGACCCAGAATCCAGCTGGGGACCTCTCTGCGCGTTGGTCATGCTCCGCTACTGAGCCACACCTGCCGGGCTCATGCACATACGTTTTACACACGTATTATCCGTGTGGTACTACTTCAGCCTTACCTTTTGGAATCTGTGGAAGATGGAATAGGAGAGAGAAAATATTCACTAGCGAGATTTGGGTATCCAGACCTTGCTGAATATTCTAGGGGTGACAACCAAGATATTGCAGGTCTGTGTATTGATTATCTGTGACACTGTGTGATTTAGATTCGATTACGGATCCTGCCGGGCACCGAGCAGGAAATGTTATACAACTTCTACCCTCTCATGGCCGGGTACCAACAGCTGCCGTCTCTCCGCATCACTGTGCCGAGGTTTCCCAGCTTCACAAGCCAGCTGCTCCGGCGCTTCATTCCCACCAGTATTTTTGTCAAGGTGAGGCCCACACGGCTCCTGCCCCTTACACATACCGTCTTGAAAACAAACAAAAGATTTTTTTTTTCTTGTAAATATCGCTAAATAATAACTTCAGACTAACAGTGATGGTTTTGATTTTTACCCTATGAACTTGGCAGTATTGCTATTTATTTCTATAAAGTTGATTTCAAAAATGTTTATTCCCGCCGGGACCGGTTTGGCTCAGTGGATAGAGCGTCGGCCTGCGGACTGAAAGGTCCCGGGTTCGATTCCGGGCAAGGGCATGTACCTTGGTTGCGGGCACGTCCCCTGTAGGGGGTGTGCAAGAAGCAGCTGATGGATGATTCTCTCTCATCGATGTTTCTAACTCTCTATCCCTCTCTCTTCCTCCCTGTGAAAAATCAATAAAATATATTTAAAAAAATGTTTATTCCCTTAGGTAAATGATTTACCTTTATACTATCCTTAAATGTGTTTTTCTTTGGCTTTCACAAAGTATGTTTTTAAATGATAGTTAATTTGTAACTAATTTTTAATCAAAATGGGTTCACTTTTAAAATATGATCACCAAATTCTTCTAATTCTCTCAGTTTGAGTGTGTAATACCGAATGATTGGAGTCATTTTTTAATTGAGTTTATTGGGTAACATGGGTTAATAAAGTTATATAGGTCGCATCTTTTCTGGAAATGGGCACCTGATGGGCACTACACTGTGGTTTAATGTTCTGATTCGCTCCAGGCTCCTGCAGGAGAAAACTACGGTGGTCCCAGTGTGTGACAGTGAGGTGGCCACACGGGTGGGTCGTGTGGCTCGGCACCTGAAGGCGAGGCTGCCCCCAGATAGTGTGTGCGCCCCCCCCCCCCCACCTCGCCCCCGCAGTGCAGATGCTCTCAGTGTGAGCCCCTCTCTGCTCCGTCGGTGCCCATTTGGGAATGGCCATTCCACTGCACAGTTCCGGTCAGGTTTCGGGGAAGTGGGCCGTGTTTCTGTTACCTGGGACTTGGTACATTACAGATCAGTTTCTGCTCATGTGTCCTTCACAATTGTCCTAGCTTTTATTTTTCTAGGTTTCATGCTTTTTTGCATCTGCAGAAAAATTGCTTTATTAACCCTTCCAAGCTTCTGTCCTATTCCATGCCTTAGATTGTTTAAAACAAAACAGGAAAGCCATGTGCATGATTTTAGATCTCTAGTGTCTAGTTTTAGATTCACCACGAAATTGGGAGGAAGTTAGAGATTGCCCATGTGCCCTCTGCCCCACCAACAGTGCTGATAGATTGGCAGTGGCCCTAAAATACCAGGTGGCTGAGGTGTGGTCTGCTGGTGGAGGTGCCTGATCAGCTGGGGGTGTCTCCAGGGTCAGCAGGAACAGGGACCTAGCACGCAGTTACCGTGGCGTGTGCAGGGGTCAGTAGGAACAGGGACCGAGCACGTCGTTCCCGACCTCAGGTTCAAGAGAAGAAAAGGCCCTCGCACATGTTTATACTGTTTCTGTGAACAGTTCCAAGAATTTAAAAATCTCTTCAATTAAGAGAGCTGACGGGTCACTATCACCCTGTAAACCATCTTGTTTTCCCTCTCTGAAGCCACAGGGCCGGCTCGGGGACGACGCCTCCATCGCTGCTGCATGAGGGTCACGCCGGGCCTGGCCGGGCCGCGCCCGCAGACGCTGGACAGAGCTCCCTGAGGGCTTCACTCCGAGCTGAGCATTGATGGTGGGGAACGTTAATCTTTATTTTTTAATGGATGTTACACCAACTCTTCAGAGGCACTCGTGCATAAGAGATTAGCAAACCTGTCCTCTGTATAGTTTCACTAATAAAACTTTGGAATCTGTCAGTGTGGCGTGACAGCAGTCAGACCATTGTTGAAAGGCACTGGCGAATAGTAAATTCTTCCCGACGGACGTGACGTGACGTGCCCGTGCAGTGTCAGGAAATGCAGCCCCCACAGGAGTGGATGGGAGGGAAGCTCCCATCCCCACAGCCCTCGGGGGTCACTCAGGTCGTCATCCTCACAAGCCAGAGCGTGCTCCCGGCGCGGACCCAGAACAGGCTTCCGGCAGTTCCCGTCAGAGCAGTCTAACTGTCCAGCCCGTGGCTTTGTTACCATCAGTCAGGTCAGAGGCTCGTCTGCGGCGGGTTTGTGTCTGTGTTATTAAGACTCTAACCTGTAAGGGCCCAGACTGCAAGGACCTGACCGGCAGCATAATTCCCTAACCAGAAAAGGTTTTTAAAGATTCAGGGTCTAAATAAGAGCTTCTTGTTATGTTGTGCAGTTTAAAAACAACCATGTAGATTCTTGAAAATTCATGTAAATAAAAATCACATTGTGAAATCTCTGTGTTTAAATATTTTAATTTAAAACTACCCGATGTCCTGGAAATGTTGATTATTTAAACGTGTGGGGGTTGTAAAAAGGCAGCGGTGCTGTAAATAAACGTGTTCTCTTTCAACGCGCCTGCGTGTGTGTGTCTCATTCACGTTGGGCTCAGTCCCGACGGCGGTGCCCCGGAGCCGAGGTGCCCCGGAGCCCTGGCGCCAGCAGTACGGAGAGGGGACCGTCGCGGGCAGTGGCTGCATCATTTGAAGGGAAGAGCCTTGACTTTGGCTTGAACGAGTCCCATGTTACAGCTCCGCCCACGTTAAAAGTCTCCCAGTTGTTGCCCTAGTTGGTTTTGCTTAATGGATAGAGCATCGGCCTGTGGACTAAAGGGTCCGATTCCAGCCAAGGGCACATGCCTGGGTGGCGTTTGTGACCAGAGATGGCTGAACGAACGAGTACAGAGCACCAAGCAGAGAGGTGGGTGTCGTCTGGCTATGGGTTTGTTCTGGAACATTCCTAACCAGGGATCCTCACGCCTGCCTCCGATGTGCTCCACAGCCGTCCTCTCACTTTGGCAAACAGCTGCCGACAATTCCCCGAAAGGACAAACCCCATGTTTGCGTGGAAGGCAGAGGAAGTCCTAGCAGAGTCACAGTCAGGTTTTCTTTGCAGATCAAACCTGGGAGGAGCCTCCCCTTCCGCTCAGAATAGAGACGTGGGCTCAGCGCCCAACTCTTTCTGCTTCCTGAAGTGTTTCACAGGAGGAGGGAGATGGTGAGACCGAGTCAGAACTGCCGTGCACACCACACAGAGCATGGGAAATCCTGCCTTCTTGCCAGCCATGGAGAGAATGCAAACCCACAGCAACCTGGAGGCTCAGCTACGGATCGCACCCTCATCCTACATTGGAACGCCTGGCCGAGGACTGGTGACGACCGGCTGTGTTCAGTCGGTCAGGGTTTCTAACTGTGGTCCCAGGCGGTGGTCACCGGCATGTGTTGAGAGCTACAGCCTGCCAGCGGTGGTGAGCTTACCTCGTCTAATACCGGCAAAAGCCCGGGGTGGTGTAGGACCTGTTACTGTCCCCCTTTTAACCATGTGGCAGCTGAGGCACGGAGAGACGAAGTGACTTGATGTCCTGGTTATCGCTGCAAGACAGGTGGCCTAGAACAGTGGTCGGCAAACTCATTAGTCAACAGAACCAAATATCAACAGTACACGATTGACATTTCTTCTGAGAGCCGAAAACCCACTTCTGTGCGTGGGCCACGAAGTTCCAATCGCACTGTCCATGCGCGCCCCCACGTGGTCTTTTGTAGAAGAGCCACACTCAAGGGGCCAAAGAGCCGCATGTGGTTCGCGAGCCGCAGTTTGCCCACCACTGGCCTAGAACAACAAGGGTTCCTGGGTGGTTCCAGAGGGTCAGGAACTCGGGGCGGGCCTGGCCGGGCACCTGTGGGCTGTCGCTCACATGGTGTCCCTCAGCAGTGGGGGTGCCTGGGGCGCCGACCGGGGGCCCATTTTGGCGCTGGGTGCTGAAGCCATGGAGGGGCCCGTTCCCGAAGGCCCACGGCCCAGAGGAGACACGTGTACACACTCCGCACAGGCGGCCAGCGCCCCGAGCGGGCGTGAGACAGGAGGCTCAGGGAGGTCTGGGATTTACTTTCAAGGCTCCAGATGATGGAAACAAAGCAGGCTGGGAGGAATGTGTAGAACAGGAGCTGGACCATGTTGATACTTGTGAAAGGGGCCTGGGAGCCTCATTTCACTGAATTCATCAGTATGAATGTCAGGGCAGACACAGGCAGACGGAGCGCGTGGAGGGCAGCAGGGCAGGAGTGAGGACGGGCGGAGGCAGGGCTCCCTGCGGGCGGGAGGCTGGAGCCGGTTCAGAGCCATCGCGCAGTCCCTCTGTGTCTCTCTCCTCTGGAGACGCATTCCTGTCATCCTGACGGGCCCTGGGGTGGAGGCTGAGCGTGGGGGCCCACGCCTGTTTTCAGGACAAACAAATGAAGGAAGCACTTCCCGGGGATGAGGCTGTGCTGGCGCCCCGTGCTCCCGTGCTGCGGACCTGTCCCTGCAGAGCGGCCGGCCTTGTTTCTCCTGCCCCAGAGGGTCACGTTTGGTGATAAGAGAATCAGAACGGAAAGAATGCAGGTGCTGTCTGTGCTGCTTTCTCTCTTGGAGAGTTTGGGAATGAAGCTTGTCTCCTTTTAGCCTTATTTTGCTCATCGGATTGGAGATTATCGCTTGGAACATGTTTGCTGTTGGGTGATCATCAACCATCCTTGTCCCAACAAAAGGCTGAATCCCAAAACCAGAGTTAGCAGAGAACAGAAGCCCCGTGTGGAGAGGAGATGCTGAGTCATGGGGGCGCCGGACGCAGGAGCCCGTGGCGGTTTGTATCAGAGCTGTTCGCTGCTCACACTGCATTGGCCAGGTCTTCTCCACCCTGGCCGCCATCCTTCACTGCATTTCATTCTTTTTTTAAAGTATATTTTATTGTTTTTTTTACAGAGAGGAAGAGAGAGGGATAGAGAGAAACATCGATGAGAGAGAAACATCGATCAGCTGTCTCTTGCACACCCCCCACTGGGGATGTGCCCGCAACCAAGGTACATGCCCTTGACCAGAATCGAACCCGGGACCTTTCAGTCTGCAGGCTGATGCTCTATCCCCTGAGCCACACTGGTGAAGGCTCTTCTCCCTCTTCCTCCCTTGTCATCGAGGAGTAGAAGTGGAGTCATTCTTGGAACTTTTCCACATTCTGGTGGCGGCTGATTCTTCCTGGGGTGTCACTGGGCCCGTGTCCCTGTCCCCGTGGTTGCTATGGACTGGAGTTAGGGAGCACAGCCTGCCTGCGTCCCGGGTTCCTGCCCGCCTTTCCTTTTTGAGTGACATCTCACAGGTGGCAAGCTACGCATCCTACAGCCACACGCAAGGTCTGGCTGCCTCTGTGGGTTCCAGGATGACAGCCTAGTCCCTTTAGGACAAGATCAGGTACACGGCCATCTCGCAATAGTCTGCATCAATTCGCCAGAAGTTGCAACATGTAACTTTAAAATGCGCGTCTGCATCCATTGGCTGCAATTATTTTGTGTAGAAACGCTCCCCCTCATCTATTAGGTCCGTGAAGTCACCCTAAAATAGAGATCTTAGTAACTTAGTTCCCCCTCTTCCTAATTTCCAGAGCAACGAGTTGGCGCCTGCAGCTCTCGCTAACGCAGTTCAGGAGCTTCCGTTTGTCTGTCTTCCCCATTTCCCCCTTTTTTCTATGAGATAATCGTGAAAGGAAGGCTGAGACAGGGAGGTGGGGCTGGTGGATGTGATGGCTCTGACTTCTTAGGCAGCTGCTGTCAGTGCCTCTGAGGGAGACCAGCGCCCCCACGTGGCTTCATGGGAACAGGGCCACAGCTGTTAAAAGCACCCACCTTTTAAAGCTTCCGCTTCCAAAATCCAGTTTATAAGGAACTCCAGCTGGAACAATGAAACCAAGAAGACACTCTACACTGTTAGCAGGCGCCCAGTCCTGCAAACTTTTCTCAACCTTGCCCTCAAAATCAATGCTACTGTTGGGTTGGATAAAAAAAACCGAATCGCTAGCCCCTCCCCTGGGAAACTGACCTTCAGACTTAGACCACATTCCATTTGCTCAGACCTGTCACTTTCCCCTCCAGACTTGCCCAGAGGATTCCATCCAGAGAACTCCCCTCCGAAAAGCTTGCCTATAGCTCTTTAAAAACTTCGACTCCTGCTGAAACCAGTGTTGCTCAGTGGATAGAGCGGATTGAAAGGTCCCAGGTTCGATTCCGGTCAAGGGCATGCACCTTGGTTGCGGGCACATCCCCAGTAAAAGGTGTGCAAGAGGCAGTTAATTGATGTTTCTCTCTCATCGAGGTTACTAACTCTCTATCCCTCTTTCTTCCTCTCTGTAAAATATCAATAAAATATATTAAAAACAAAACCTCTGACTCCCCATCCCTGGTGCTGATGCCATGTGGGGGCCCAGCCCCTCGGGTTTCCAGATGACCTAATCACTTCACTGTGCTTTAACACTTTCCGTGACGCTGAAGCAGGAATTTTAGGGGAATAGAGGCAGGTGTAGGGAATTTTTAGAATTGGGGTCCATGAGGAACACAGGGCTACAGACTGGGTGAAGGTACATCTCCACGACACAAGGAAGCCAGGTGCAGCTACATTTCCATGAGACAAGGCAACTGGAAGTAGCAAGAAAGGTCTATATTTACAAACTAAAGAAGGAGGAAGCAAGTCCAGAAGGAATGGAAGGACTGAGGGAGGAGGGCCT